CTGTCTACAATACATTGCCGTGGCATGTTATTCTTTACCACATTGTTCATACTCTGTATTATACTATACTATACGATACTTTACTATACTCTTCTGCAATTCTTCTTGTCTGCACTATACTCTACTGTACTATACTCTTCTGCAATTCTTCTTGTCCGTACTATACTATACCGTACTAGACTATACTACCCATAGCCCCCATTGTAGTTCCTTTTGGGGATTACGTTTTAGGATTCTAAATATGAAGCCCCAAAAAGGAACTACTATTGGTCCTATGGGTATACTACACTATACTTCACATACATCGCCCAACCCTAAACCCTAAACCCTAAACCCTGAAGGATCACTTGCCCCGATCCTGAGGTCCACACGCTGGTTGAAAACCGCTCTCCGAGCTGCGGCGGGAACCTTACATCAGGGACCCAAAAAGCACATAAGCATAAGCATCTTATGGTGATATCCCTACCTTACTGGGCTTCATTATGAGGGCCCTATTACAATTTTTGCTGCTGTTTGCTCGGGAAGTTTGGGACTTGCCGAGAATAAGGGACCGTAATACAGTACCCTAAACAGTAGGATCCTTATGATAAGGAGCCCCCCAAAATAAGGTACGGATCTTTATTATTATAAGGACCCCCAAAATAAGGTACCCAAACTTTCGAAAACTCCCATTTCGGTGTCAGGGTTCAAGGTTCTGGGGTATCGGCGAGCAGAGTTCTTTACTTGACGTGGGGATTTCCGGATCATGGAATCTTACAGCAAGCAAACAAGTCGGTACCTCGGTTCAGGGTGCAGTAATTGTGGACTTGGCATATTGATCGAATGCGGTATTGTGCTCTCTGGGACTGTGATGTTTGAGATATCGTGGTATCTCAACATGTTGAGAATCCTATACACTGAACGCTGCACACGAAGCCCCAAAAATCTACAATTGTACTCTGAGTCTTCATATCAGGTCCTGAACCCTTTGGTGGTGATACTGCTGATGGACAAAATCCTGCATTACCCATTATAAGGAATATACCATAGTTCCTATAGTTTAGAGTCCTTAGGGTCATGCAGGATTTTGTCCATCAACAGTATTCCGATGTTGGAATGTGTCGGCTCCGTGACTGTAACCCGTCAGCCCCAGCATCCTGCAATAGACGTTAGAAGGGGCCCCCAACCTGTAATAGTGGTATAACCCTAAGGGTCCATGTCTCCACATAGAGATACATTGGCCCCAAAGTACCTATATAGGGACTACATTAAGGCCAATGTATATACTATATGAGTACATGGACCCTTAGGGTTAGTTAGAAGGGGCCCCCAACCTGTAATAGTGGTATAACAGAAGATAATCCTTATCGTCACTATTACAGGGTGGGGGCAGCTTCTAGAATAGACGCATTAAGCTTAACCACTTGTGGAAAATCCTGCAGCCTACAACCAGCGATTTCCTTACTCCCTATTCCCCAGTCCCAAGCTCCAGCACAAACTTGTCCCACAGGGTCCAAGTACTCCTTGTTATAGGACCTTAGGGCCTTTGCAGCTATCAAAAACTATAAAGTATGGACTACTTGGGAACTTAGGGTGAACCCTCAACCCTATAAACCCTAGACCCTAAACCCTAAATATGGACTACTTGGACCCTCAGGGTGTTAGTAAAACACCATGCATCTGGAGCTCTAGGCTATGCATTGCTCGTTATCTTCCAATCAGCTGCCTTGGCTCGCTGGCTGAGTTTGACGGTTCGGGGGGTTGGGGGGTGTAGGATTTGGGGTCCGTAAAACCGGGAACCCTGAACAATGATTGGCTACGATTCTGTAGGTATGGGTTGGCTTCAGGGTTTTCAACATTGGACTTAGGGTGTAGGCGGTTTAGGATTTAGGGTCTGAGGGTCTGGAACATTTGCGCTTGGGGCTTAGGATCTACATGGGTTGGGTTTCGGATTGTTGAGTTCGGGTTCTTCGTCAGGGAGTTTGCGGTTGGGCTTCGGCCTACCGGCCTATGACATTGTGATTCCAATACTAGGTTTTTGGAGAGACATTGGTACTCGGGCTTTTGAGGAATATTCGTAATTGAGTAAGCTGTGCTATGCTTGGAAGTAAGATATGTATGCGCTTTGTCACGATACTATAAGGTACACGTGGCCAGGAAGCTGTTCTCACCGTCAAGGTCTTTGTTGAATTCTCTGTCTACCGAGTTACTATAGGAGCCTTAATAACTACATATTTATTTTGGGGGTTCCTTATATAGATATAGTATAATGGGCCCCAAAACCCTTTTCTAATTATTATGGCCCCTATATTCAGATCTTTTTCGGCGTGACTGGCTGGGTTTCCGGTTCAACGCGTGACGGCTTGAGGAACACCCATAGGCTTCATAGTTTTGGGGTTCATATTTAGAATCCTATAACCCTAAGGGTCCATGTCTCCACATAGAGATACATTGGCCCCAAAGTACCTATATAGGGACTACATTTAGGCCAATGTATATACTATATGAGTACATGGACCCTTAGGGTAAGGTAATCCCAAACAGGAACTACTACGGAGCCCATGGGTAGTTGCAGGCATTCTTGTGGTTGAGCGGTGGGTTTGGCCTGTCAACTACCCCTCCTTCAGCTACGTTCCCGAACTGGAACACACACTCCCGCTAGGGTCCCCTATTTTCGGGTATGTATACGCCCTACAACCCTCAAGTGCTGAGGCGGTTGCCGTGCTTGATATCTCGGGTTTGCGACGCCGTGCTCTGCTGGCTGTACAGGCCCACAGTGCTTTAGTTGGTTGGCACAGGGCTCAATATTGGGATAGGCTTCCTTTGAGGGTTCCACTACAGGTCTAGAAAACGGTCTTAAGGGGCAGGGTTGGAGAAGGGGCCCCAAAAACTAAGATAAGATCCGGAGGTGGGTCGTACCATAATTTGCGGTTTGTAATCGGGGCCCGAATAACTACGAACACCATTCCTCGTCATGTTTATACTAGAACATACTCCAAACCCCATTCGAACTACTAAGGACCTGGAAAGGGTATCGACCAAGCTGCTGAAACTGTTGAGGTATCGTAGTTTGAGCTCTGTGCGTTTAGTGAAACTCGAACCTCGGTCTTGGATGTATGCTGCTTTCCCAATAAACCCTGGCCCTGAACCCGGAAGCCTTCCAGAAACTCCAAGCCTTAGCCCTAAGTCATACACCCCTATACCGCAAACCTCTTTGCCCCAAGGCCTTACCCCCCAAAACATCAGATATAGTGACACGTACAACTATACATCCTGAAATCATAGAGCCGGAAAGACGGGGACCATGAATGTGGCCCTGAAAAGAACCCTAAGGGTCCATGTATTCATATAGTATATACATTGGCCTTAATGTAGTCCCTATGTAGGTACTTCGGGGCCCATGTAGAGTGAACCCCAGAAAGTTGGAACATGGATTTAGGATGATTACTGCTAGGATTCCCTCTTCTTTACCTTAAGGGAATGAGGATAATGATGTTCCAACTTTCTGGCCTCAACTGTATCTCTATATGGGTACATGGACCCTTAGGGGAACCTCCACCGCAAAGCCATGCACCCGTCAACTCTTGCCTTGGTTTGGCCCAAAGCAAAGCGGAGTTTGGTAGAGACCCTGCCGGCGATCGAGTTTAGAGTGTAGGGTTTTAGGGTTTAGGGTTTTAGGGTTTTGGGTTTTAGGGTTTAGGGCTTTGGGGTTCCTTTGAGAGTTCTCCGAGGGTTTAAAGTTCATTTTAATAGTTCTCTCAGGGCTTGGGGCTACTGCGAAAGCTCTTTTGTAGATTCTGTGTGGCGTTGAGGCTTTGTGTAGGCCCAGGCTTCCTTAAGATTTCGTGCTTAGGTTCTGCATGGGTCTGGGTTCGTTCACCACAGGTAGCACTCTGCTTGCTTGCGGCACATCTTACACGACGTCTGGTACATGTTCTTGTTACTTCAGACTCTTTGCATGACCTTGTTTACTTAGTGACAGCTATGAATATTACGGGTGAAGATGGCTGCTTCGGCGATGCTGGGACACTGGTCCGCCCCCGGCCCTGAGGGGGCTCGCGAGGTTGTGTTGTGCTCTTAGAGGGGCGAAGGCTCTACATAGTGCTTAAGGTTACCCTAAACCTTCAACCTTAAACCTTAAACCTTAGACCTAGGGTGAACTACCCTAAACCTTAAACCCTATAAACCTTAAACCTTAAACCGTGTCTAGAGAGGGTGATCTGCTCAGGGTTTCGGCTTTACCAGAGGGTTCGGAAGGACTCCTCGAGGAGTCCGGGGTTATCGTGAGTGACACCGATCCGGGGGGGGGGGGTTCGGGGTGGACACGCGAACAGTGGCTTTAGGGTTTCAGGTTTAGGGTTTAGGGAATTTAAGGTTCAGGGTTTAGGGTTCAGAGTTTTCAGTTTTCGGGACCGACTCAATGGTTAGGGGTTCAGGAATTTTGGGGTTTAGGGTTCACTGTTCAACCGTCGAGTGTGTGTTCGGCTTGAATAAAAACGCACCGTCGTCGGATCTACTTGCATCCGTAGCATAGGGGAACCTTGTAGTAGAGTAGGTAACCTTTAACCTTTTTTGTGGATTTAGGATGTCGCGTTTAGGGTCATGCACACCCTAGTCCTACAGTTGTATGCAAACAGTCGAACTGCCGGTACCAGAAGGTATACTCGTCCTATTTCTCTTTCGTTGCCGGCTCATATATACCTGCACGACTTCTCGCAACACCCGATGCCCGATGCCATTATATCTCTGGGCCACGTTCTCCTCGACGAATCATCCAGGCTCCAGTGTGGTAGCGGCGTGCTTCAGTGCCCATGCTGGCTTCAAGTTTCTAGCAACCTCTAAACCCGAACCCTCAGCAATTCCTTCAGCATGAAGGTACTGCTGTCCCCATCTTCGATCTGCTGAATGGGTCGTAAGTAGCTACCCGACCGACACCGGCAACCCACAAACAATACAACAGACTCAACCCTAAGAATCGGCATACCGCCCTCAGTGGCCCCAGGGCCCGCTAGCGGGTCGCCATGGCGGCGGGCTTCCAATGCGTCTCAGAGCTCCAACGGCTCCAAAAGGAATTCGCTACATCTCTGGAGGTCACCACCGGGGTTGTTTCTACTGAAGTCCGAGGTCTGATAAATGTCCGCGGGCTCCATACATACCACCATTATGAAATTAGGTCCCCACAGGCCATCCTTGTTATGGCTTTCAGGACCTAATTTCCAAAATGGCAATGTTTATGGAGCCTGAGATTGCCGGACATTTGTAGCCCATATAATGTAGTCAGCGTCCAATTGCAGTCACATTTATCACATACCCTGAGACCCCATTCCTACTGATCAGGCCCCTCATATCGAACCCTGCAGAAAGCCGTTACGGACCCCTTGTAGAAGCCCGATTAATTTAATATTACTTTTCTCATAATACCAGAAATAGCAACAACTAACTAGCTATTGTCGTGTCTTTTTAGGAGCATTGCTACCAGTATTAGTACTACTGCTGATATTATTGCTAGTATTAACTGTTGGCGAAATCTTTAGTATTGTTATTACTGTTGTTGCTATTGTTTGTTCTTGTTCTGATTGTGGGCATTATTGGTTGTGTTATTGTTGGTGTGGTTGTTATTGTTACTGGTTTTGTCATTGTGATTATTGTTATCACACCATCATCATCAATGTTACCAGTAGAATTGTGAATTAACGCCCGTGCAATAGGGTTAAGGCTCCTAGGTGCCTAGGTGTTCGGAGCTTTAAGGCTTATCGACAGTGTCCGGCGTAGGTTACCTTGCTGTACTACGTCTTGAGTTTTAGGTGCTAACGATATAATTTAGAAGCTGCCCCCACCCTGTAATAGTGACTAATTCCCATTATACCACTATTACAGGGTGGGGGCCCTTCTAAGATATAATGGGTTAAAGACAGGAGATTCTGACGACAGGATCCTAGGCATCGAATGGCTGAAAGAGACGAGTTTTCGGGGTTCTATCCGAAGCATAAGACATGAGTGTGTTAAACAATGGCCGTAAGAAAGCCACAGGTCCAGGTGCGGAATGTGAGTCGAGGCAGTAGTTGTTGAAGTTATACGATCCTTGCCATGATGTGGAGCAGTTCTATAGCCACGAGATGGGTTAAAGAGAGGAGCGACATTGTTGGAAGCTTGACAAGTAGTCCGATCAAGGACGTTTTGGGTTTTCGCTGTCTTGGGTGTTTTTGGACGGGGTACCTTAGGGTTACCTAGACGCGGTTTGGATTGGACATTTTTGCAGGGCGCAAACCTAAGCCCTAATTTCCGGTTCCCTCAACCCTAAGCCCTAAGCTCCTAAACCCTAAACTCCTAACCCCAAACCCCTAAACTCTAATTCTTCGAACCCGTTCTTCCCCAAACCCTAAACTCTAGTTCCCAAAACCCTAAACTCTAGTTCCCTAAACCCTAAACTCTAGTTCCCTAAACCCTAAACTCTAGTTCCCTAAACCCTAAACTCTAGTTCCTTGAGCATTTTGTTGGCTTTCTGGGTTTCGGGCTTGGGTTCAAGGTTCCAAGTCTTCAGGCTCAAAGGCTTCCGTGACACATGATTACGGTTTAAGGTTTAGGGTTTAGGGTTTAGGGGATTATTCAGTACTCATGCATTTAAGGCTTGGGGATTAGCGTTTCGTTCTTAGGATATATATACACACATCACTTATATACGGTTCATCTATGTGGTAGATATGTTTGATCCTTGTCTCTCAGAGTAGTATCATTTCAGCTTATTGCAAAAAACCTGAACAAAGGGTTCATGGAACCCTGAAATGAAACCCTAAACCCTAAACCCTAAACCCTAAACCATTATAAGGACTATAAGAACTCCAGAATTCGGATCATCGAGCCAACCCTTAAATCCTGGAACCTTCAACCTTAAACCAAGCTCTAAACCTTAAACCCGAACCTACCTATACCCCAAACCATCGAATGACATCGGATCAAACCAACAAGCAAGGCTATGCTACAAGGGCGTCTATACCCCAAACCTACCCTAAACCTGAAACCCTAGACCCCAAGCCCTGCACCTAAACCCTAAAACGGCGCGTCAGGCTCTGTCCAGCACCTACGATGGCATCCAGGCGGCCATCGAAGGCATCCCAGAGCTGCTCGCAGCTGCCAAGGCACTTTGCGGGTTGCTTTTAAAGGTTCCCCTGCTTGGAGGGCCAGGGTCATGCGACTTCGTAAGTAAGGTTATAAGTACCCTAATGACCCCGTTACTAAGTCCCATGATCCTTTAAGTAAGGGATCCTGTTAAAGGGTTCCTCAAGGGGTTCCGTTATAGTTAGCTTCCTTTAGACTTCCTTTGAGAGTTCCTTCGCGGTGCTCCTTTCGGGGGTCCGTCAAGGCGTCTTTTTAAGGGTTCAATTAAGGGCTCCGTTCGACTTTGAGGTTTAAAAACGGGTTTAGGGTTTAGGGTTCAGGGTTTAGGTTTAGGGTTTAAGGTTTATGGTTTAGGGTTTAGGGTTTAGGGTTCAGGCTTTAGGTTTAGGGTTGAGGGTTCAGGGTTCAGGTTTAGGTTTAGGGTTTAGGGTTTGGGGTTTGGGTAGGGTGTAGGCTTGCAAGGGACCAAGATCACTCCCTCTGGCTCGCACTGCACCCCTGCCTCGGGCTAACAAACCAAGGTGGTCTATGGCCCGCAAGCCCGGGACCCATTGAAACATCAGGCCTAAAAGCTAAAACCGAAGCTTTTTCCCCAAAAACTCCAACCTCAAACCTTGCACCGTAATGCCTACCGTTGGGCTGTTGGGGTGCTTGGACCCTGAGGGTAGACCACCACAGCTCCACAATCCTGAAGATAATACACCGTAGTTGCTTAACGTGTCTCAGAATCTAGAGGTCTTGCGACTATTTGTCTGTTTGTCAGTTGTACCCCAAGGCCCCATAGTAGCTCCTTTTTGGGATTACCTTGTAGGATTCTAAATATGAACCCCCAAAAGGAACTATTTTGGGTTTTCTGGGTACTCCTCAATTGAATTAACGTGTAGCGGACTCTCAGGCTTCCGCCAGGCAATCCGGAACCCCCCCGAAAATTATCCCCTCCGAGGAACCTTAAATGTTGAACCCTATGATTTAGGGTTATTTAGAGTTTAGGGTGTAAGGTTTTGGGGATTAGGGTTTAGGGTTGAACCCTGTTCATGACAATTTGAAACCTTAATCCTGCCCTGCAACTCGTACATGGCTTGGTTACGCGAACCCTTCAATAGATCCGTTCAAGGACCCTTAGAGGACCCCCCAAACCTGTACAGGACCCGAAAAACTCTTAGGGCCTTACAGCTCTACCCTGATCCCTCAAGCCTTCTAAAGCCCTATAGACGCAAGAAGCCCGAAACCCTTAAACCCTTAACCCTAATCCCCTAAACCCAGAACCCTAAAATCAACAAAAACACACCAAACCCTAAAACACCCTCACAAAAAAAACCCAGCCAAAAGCCCTAATTAAACCCTAAACCCCTACACCCTACCCAGAGGCCCCAAAGTAGTTCCTTTTGGGGATTACCTAATAGGATTCTAAATATGAACCCCAAAAAGGAACTACTTTAGGGCCCTAGGGTAAACCCTGACCCCATCGCCCCCTACAACGGAGGAGGCCGACGAGGACATGGCGCCCTCTCCGGGGGGTCTCGGCCCCTTGGGCCGTTTTGGTTTACAGGGAACTCCAGAAAGTTGGAATATGGTTTCATGGTAGGATACCCTATAACTTACCATAGAAGGGTTAGGATAATCATACTCCAACTTTCTGGCTTCTACCTTAGGGTTTAGAGTTTGAAGCTTAGGGCCTCTGGGGTCTAAGGGTTTAGGGTTTAGGGGCTTTGGGTTTGGGGTTTAGGGTTTAGGGTTTAGGGTTTAGGGTTTGGGGCTTTGGGTTTAGGGGTGTAGTTTCTGTATAAAGTTTGGGCTCCTGAGTGGTACCCTTGACGCCTCGCGGATGGCCCTGTCTGCCGGGTACGTTAGGGTTGAGGGCCTTTGGGGGTCTAGGGGCTTAGGGGTCAGGGTTAGGGGTTTAGGGTTCAGGGTTTAGGGTTTAATTAGGATTGACAGTAGGATTCAGTGCTTAGTTGTTTGCTTCTTTGTTTGAGGCATTTGCAGTGCTTTTGTCAAGAGTGTTTAGTTTTGATTGAGTGTAGTTACCACTCGCTTTTAAAGGTTTCATAAAGGAAGCGCAAGCCCCACCAAAAGACATTAACTAGGGCTGTGGATAAACATTGATCAAGTTCCTATTTTCCAGAATTCATGGATTTTTGGATTTAGGGCTAGTTCGGAGTTTAGGATTGTTCGGTTTTAAGCTTCCGGTTTTCTGCTGCACCCGTACCTGGCATCTAATCGGGCTTCGGGGTTCGGGGTTCCTAAACCCTAAATCCCCATCCTACACCCCAAACCCCTAAACCCGCTCATTGGTCAATCGCAGTCGTGCTGTCAGCTCTAGACACACCCCTGAACCGTTAATAACTCCCAATCGGGAATCCATGAGTCAAAGGCCACACTAAATATCAGCAACTGCATTTGGGTAGTTCTGTAAACTAAGGCCCCTTTTGTAGTCCTCTATGGGTGCAACACTGCTTGGCGTATAGAAAGGGACCTTAATTCAGAGAGCTATCCCTTATCATACCCTTATAGATTAGAAGGGGCCCCCACCCTGTAATAGTGGTATAATTGGATTATAATAGGGCCCTAATAATCCCTAATATAATCCTTATGGTCACTATTACGGGGTGGGGGCAGCTCCTAACTTATAGATCTTTTTAAAGGAACGCGAAATCGGGGACTCTAAGTTACAGAACTGTCCAAGACGGTAAACGTCTCTAGTTGCTTAGGATTTCCTGGGGTTTCGGAGTTTTGGGTTTAGGAGTCATGGGTTTGGGAGTGTAGGGTCTAGATTTTGCGGGTTAAAACTTTGAGATTTAGGAGTTATGGGTTTCGGGGTTTAGGGTTTCGAAGTTTTGGGGTTCAGGGGTTTGGGGCTTATGCGTGTTAGTGTTTAGCAGTCTAGGGTTTTAGAGTTTTGGCCCAGACCTTCCAAAACCCCTTCATTAAGGAATATACCTTAAATTATAGTAGGATCCTTAATATGATTTAAGATATATTCCTTAGTTAAGGAATTTTGGAAGGTCTGTGGGGTTTCGCAGTTTAGGTTTTGGGAGTCAGTCTGGGGCTTTATGAGTTTTGGGTTTCGGAGTTCGGGGTCTGGGAGTTCCCAGAGCCTCCAAAACCCCTTAATTAAGGAATATACCTTAAATGGTAATAGGAGCCCTTATATGATTTTAAGGTATATTCCTTAATTAAGGGGTCTTGGAGGCTCGGAGTCTGGGGTTTTAGGAGTGTAGGGTTGATGAGATTTGGGTTTAGGAGTCGAGGGTTCGTTTAGAGGGCTCTATAAAGGTGCTCCTTTAAAGGGACCTATAGGGTTTAGGAGTTTGTGGGTTTAGGAGTTCGGGATCTGGGAGTCGGGGGTTTTGGGAGTGTGGGGTTGACTTCTTTAGATAAGTCCTTGACAAGGTAGATCCCTTTAAAGGGATCTATAAGGGTTCCTTTAAGACTTCCTTTTAAGGTTTAGGCTTCTTTAGATAAGTCCTTGACAAGGTAGGTTATTCGGGGTTGAGGTAAACCCCCCCCAGAGCCTCCAAAACCCCTTAATTAAGGAATATACCTTAAATGATAATAGGAGCCCTTATATGATTTTTTAAGGTATATTCCTTAATTAAGGGGTTTTGGAGTCCCCTAAACCCTAAACCCTATAGATCCCTTATAGATCCCTTTAAGGAACCCTAGGTATATTCCTTAATTAAGGGGTTTTGGAGTCCCCTAAACCCTAAACCCTATAGATCCCTTATAGATCCCTTTAAGGAACCCTAGGTATAGTCCTTAATTAAGGGGTTTTGGAGTCCCCTAAACCCTAAACCCTATAGATCCCTTATAGATCCCTTTAAGGAACCCTAGGTATATTCCTTAATTAAGGGGTTTTGGAGTCCCCTAAACCCTAAACCCTATAGATCCCTTATAGATCCCTTTAAGGAACCCTAGGTATAGTCCTTAATTAAGGGGTTTTGGAGTCCCCTAAACCCTAAACCCTATAGATCCCTTATAGATCCCTTTAAGGAACCCTAGGTATATTCCTTAATTAAGGGGTTTTGGAGTCCCCTAAACCCTAAACCCTATAGATCCCTTGTAGATCCCTTTAAGGAACCCTAGGTATATTCCTTAATTAAGGGGTTTTGGAGTCCCCTAAACCCTAAACCCTATAGATCCCTTATAGATCCCTTTAAGGAACCCTAGGGTTTTGGAGGCTCTGGGTCTGGGGTTTTAGGAGTGTAGGGTTGATGAGATTTGGGTTGAGGAGTCACGGGTTCCTTTAGATCATAGGGATCCTTAGGGGTGTAGGGTTTAGGGTTTAGGGTTTTGGGTTTAGGGTTTAGGGTTTAGGGTTAGGGGAGTATATTTCCTTAAATAGGCCTTATTAGTCCTTATTATGGGCCTTAAGGCCCCCTACCCCCCCCTCCCCCTACACCCCTAAGGATCCCTATGATTAGAGGGCTCTATGAAGGCGCTCCTTTAAAGGGACCTGTAGGGTTTAGGAGTTTAGGGTTAGGGAGGTTTCGGTTTAAGGAGTTTTGGCTATAGGGTTACCCTCACTATGTACCTCGACTCCCGTTGCAGGCTGTTCTTCGCTGTCTTTTTGCGGAGGGGTGGTGCAAGTCCCTAAAGCCTGAGCTGTTTAAGCTTGCCGAGCCTCCAACCGACTTACAGTAGAAGCCAGAAAGTTGGAATATCATTATCGTAACCCCTTTAAGGTAAATGATAGGGGATCCTACCATTAATCCATATTCCAACTTTCCGGAGTTCCCTGTACTGGCTATACTCGCAATTTAGGGTTTAGGGTTTTGGGGGCTATACTCGCAAAAGCCCTGCATGCCCACAAAATCGCCGATTCGACAAGATGACTGTGTATCATGCGGTCCCGAACATGGACCTATATGAAGGGCCCAAAGAGCTGCAAGCTCCCGGCTGAGAGAGCCGAAAGCTTCTCCAGGCTGCAAGGGAAGTCGCTCTACCGACATGAAGAGCCCAGAGAGCTGAAAGCTCTAACAGAATCTGCGCAGGGCGAGCCACTTCAGAAAGTCGCAGGCCACAGCCATGTAAATTATGTTCAACAGGCTGAAGGACACCGCGGAGCTTTCGGGACGACAATGCGGGGGGGGGGCTGTTCGGTCGCCTTCGGATCTGGGGGCCTGGCGGTGTCTGACGGACCAAAAGCACCAAAAAGTCGAGGAGTTGCTGCTGGTGGCCGGCAGTGGCAGTGAGCGGCACACGGTTTAGGGTTTAGGGTTTAGGGTTTAGGGTTTAGGGTTTAGGGTTTAGGGTTTAGGGTTTGCAAGATCTTTCGTGGGGCAGTCAAACTTGCCCTGTGGAGTTGGCGTTTTCTGCCACGGTTCTCCTTGTTAGCCATGCTGACGGTCGTGGCTTCTCCTGGATTGCAGCACCACACAGGCAAGTGTTCAGGGCTTTTTTGGCTCCCATGAGTCTTTTGCCTACAATGACGTGTCCTAGTGAAGCCTCCTCTCATAAGACCCCGAGAACAACGTACGCGTCACCAGTTTTATATGTCGGAGCCGTGTTTGACCCATACCGCAATCGGTGATCTGTAAGGTATGGGGTCTCAGTTGTATTAACCTCAGTTTACAACCTATACAAACCCATGCCCTTATTTGTAAATTTGTGTGCTGCCCGAGGAATCATGTCGCCAATGAACGACAACGGAATCAACGGCGAAAAGGACCGAGCATTCCTTTTGCAGTGAAGCCATGCAGCCCGTAATGTTCGCGTCTTCTTGATGCATATTTCTCTGGTTTAGGGCGTAATCGCCCAGTTAATTGTGACAGTTTTCCATCACAGTTCCTTTTTAGTTCTGTAGTATATCAAGATGCCCGCTTAATCCTGTTCCTGTTAATTGAGGCTCCCATATGCATGCCAAACCACAAGCCCTAACTCCAGTATGGGTGGTTGTCAAAGTTATGGCCCATTCTTGGGTATCCTTCATAGGTGCCGTACTATATGAGGGACCCAACCCCAAGGGTCCAAGTACCTAATTATCATATACTCTCCAAAATCGTAACCTAAATAACTACTATCCTAAAACCGAGTACCTAATTCTTGGGTCCTTTGGACCCTTGGGGCAAAAGGGACCATAATTTGGACAACCACACATCTATTCGGAACTCGAACCCTGCACCCTGAGCGCTACACGTTGAACCTCTTAAGGCTACATCTGGAGCCCTACTCTTTTGTCCGTCCTGGGATGCTTAGGGGTTTAGCATGCTAGAGTTTAGGGTTAGGCTTTTGGATGCTTGGGTTTAGGGCTTAGGGTTTAGGATGCTAAGGTTTAGGGTTTAGGATGCTCGGGTTTAGGGTTTAGGATGCTAGGGTTTGGGGTTTAGGGCTTAGGGTTTAGGATGCTAAGGTTTAGGGTTTAGGATGCTCGGGTTTAGGGTTTAGGATGCTAGGGTTTGGGGTTTAGGGCTTAGGGTTTAGGATGCTAAGGTTTATAGGGTTTAGAATGCTCGGGTTTAGGGATTAGGATGCTAGGGTTTGGGGTTTAGGGCTTAGGATTTAGGATGCTAGGGTTGGGTTTTTGTTTGCAGTTGCGTTTGTTGGTCTTGGCGTGCCAGGGCCTTGGGCGGTAGGTCAGCAGGTTACTTGGAGGATCATGGGACTTAGTAAGTAAGGTTATAAGTGCCCTAATTGTGGTTATAAGTAGAGTTACCCTAATAGTAACTCGACTTACTAAGTCCCATGATCCTTTAAGTATGGGGCCACGAGAAGCTCGGTGATAAGCTAAGCGAAGCCGACAACTCAGTTGCGGGCTGAAAATTCGGGGCTGACCTATAGTCTCCATTGTAGTTCCTCTGTTTGGTTAACCAATTTTATGGTTAGGATCCTGTGATATAGTTTGTGGTTAACCAAAAAAAGGAACTACAATGGAGACTACAGGTAGGGCTGGGATTTCGGATTTAGGTCCCAGCGGTTCGGGGTTAGGGCTTCGGCTGTCGGGTTGAGGCTCAGGACCTCCGACCCGCTCCTGAAGCCAGAGCCTCCAAAACCCTTGAATTAAGGAATATACCTTAAATCATAATAGGATCCCTAATATGATTTTAAGGTATATTCCTTAATTCAGGGGTTTTGGAGGCTCTGGGAAGCCCGATTGTCTTACCTTTGGTTAGTAGGGAATGGAGGAACGGGGCACAATTCAATTATAACTACTATTACTACCTTTCTTCCATTCCCTACTGACCAAAGGCAAGTTGTTCAAGCTCCAACCCTATCGTCTACAACCCGACAGAAACCCACACCCGATAGACCCTTTTCCGTATGTTCTTGCTGTTGGTATCATTGTTCTTCTTATTGTCATTACTTCATGGCTGTGACGGTTATCTTGTCATTGCTGTTACCATTATTGGTTTCACTTTGGCTGGCTGTGTCTTTATTAGGAGTATGTTTGTGATTATGGTTATGACCTCGATTATGGTGACAGTTCTGTCATATATATATATATATATAGCTTGTCGTAATTATTAGCACTACTGTTAATCTTATTACCAGAAGGATTAACAGAGTTCTACTAATAATCCTTGTTATTACTCTTAATAGCATTTTCATGATGACAGAAAGAATCACTAATAGTTGCAGTGGTACTAGCGGTCATCGTCGTAGTCGTAGTGAGTAAGTGCTGGTAGTAGTAGTAGTAGTAGTAGTAGTAGTAGTAGCAGCAGCAGCAGCAGCAGCCGCATCATTTTCAGCTATACGAACAGATCATGCGTTGTTAGTATTCCTATTCATTTTTTTGTTGTGAGGAATAGTTGTCTTATGCTTATAGTTCTTCATAATAAGGAGTGCGGACCTAGACATATGCCAGGAGAAGTTTGAACTTTCGGCTGATGGTGTGCCCACTATGACAAAGGCACACTGCCCGGTTCCATGTTTCAGGCTCTTGTAGGGTTATAAGGGTTTACCTACACCCTTGTTATTTCCAGGGTGTGTGTTCCAAATCATGGTTGCACGATATGAGCCCTTCACCAGTTTAGGATTCGGAAATTCAGGTAGAGCTCGGGGGTAATAAACCAAAACGAAGATCAACGATTCAGGAGTCGGGGTTGATAGTCGGGGTTTCGGTTCAGGAGCCTTGCATCGCAAAATCCTTCAAGTCTACGCCCCTACTACCGTAAACCATGCAAGAGCCCTAGCGGAATCAAACTTTTTCAAACAAACCCGAAATTCCAAGATATAGACGACGTTTATGCTTTGGGTTGTAGGCATGTTGGGGCTTCGGTGGGTTCGGGCCTGGTTCATGTGCACTCCTTGAGTGTATTCAGAAGAGAACGAGGGCCCTACGCGCAAAAGGTCAAAGAAAAGTTTGTAATTCGGTGGTTCAGGAGTCTCGGGGAAAGGATGAGTGACAAACCAATAAGTCCTGAATAGCCCCGATATGTTAGCCTGGGGTTTTGCTCGGATGTGGTAATTAAAAACTTCAGAGGCTTCTACCCATAGGCTTTCCCGAGCATCGGGAGCTTAGATGTCTACATTGCCCATGAAGACTCGAAGGAGAGTTGTTTTGAGGGTGTTTGACACAGAGACCATGTCATGCCATCGTTTTTTACGTACAAGGTGGGCTCATGAGTCGGAACTATGAGTGGTTTGGACAAGGATTCCCCTATCTATATATATATATATATATGTATATGTAACTGTATATATATATATATATATATATATGTGCATACACGCATACACACGTAGGGAATCAATCATATGCATGGCAACTCAACTCAACTCGACCTACAAACTACTATGCTGCAGCCATGTACCTGATGTACCTGATTATCTCATCGTTTGGACCGTTTCAACACCTTCTTCATATACGTTGAAAAAATTCTCTGCACCTCCCTCATGATTCCCTGTAAACCCCTCGTACAGTTCCAGAAAGCGGTGCTTCAGCTTTGGCGTTGTCTTGCGAGGCAACAAAGAGCCAACACACGAGCAAACTGAAGCAGAAGCAGGACCTGAGGGCATGGGCTCAAAGAGTGGAGTAGGCGGTTTCGGCTTTAGGGTTTAGGGCCTAGGTTTTTGGGCTTTATGGTTTAGGGCCTAGGGTTTGGGCCTTAGGGTTTAGGGCCTAGGGTTTTGGGCTTTAGGGTTTAGATGCTCTGTCTCCTATGTCTACTTTGGGGTATACTTGCAGGGGTGCACAACAGGGTTTGCTATAGTATGAGGGGTGCTGTAAGGGGTACCTATAACTATCCCACCTTAGGGTGATTGAAGTGGTTGCTTCAAGGACTGCTATAGGACGCAGTGAACGGTTTGCCCAGCACTTACTTGAAGGGTCGTCATAAGCGTACTACGCAGGTTACAAGGAGGGTTTAGGGTTTAGCGTTTCGGAACTAAGTAAATGCGAGGCTGCCGAATGCAGTGAGCCGTCTGCACGCAGCTCGAACTGAAATGTAAGACAAAAGGGATACCATATCTGGGGTCCTTATAATCAGGATCTTATTTTCAGGAGTCTAATTTACGGCCTCTATTGTCTTAAGCTCACGTTAAGAGAAACGTGCCTCCAAATTCGGGACTTGTAAACAGGATCTTATTTTCAGGGCTCTCATTTAGCGCCCCTATTGTCTTAAACTCACAATTCAGGAAACGCGCCTGGAAATGCGGATGGTCTACCTATGTAGTCCTCCTCCAGCTGAACGCAGCAAGATATCCGGTTGAGGCAGCAATTACTAATCTACGCCGGACAGCAGTTGCACAAATAGTTGGTTCGGCAACAGTGGGAACCGCTGCAAACCTGAGCCATATGCACGCAATGTGCATCGGAAGGCTAGACCAAAACCTGCAAGACGTTTAACTCGTCGACGAACCAGCGGCAGAGCACTCTCATCAACGCTTTGCGGGCTCATGCACAGTTTGTCAACTCAGCTGTCACTGAGTTGGGTGCCTATATGTAGAAGCAAGAATAGCTACAATTATTGCTTCTGAGTTTTCCATGTACACTTATTCTCGAACATATCCCCAAAGCCTATTCCATGTAAAACGACCCTATGGGAAGTTGTCAAAAATATGGTCCCTTTTGGGGTACCCTAAATATTAGGTACCGTATTATAATAGGGACCCAAAAAGGGACCATAATTTTGACAACCACCCCTATACAACCTGCGAGTAAACATTGGTTTCCGGAGACTCCGAGGATCCAAATCGCAACAGAAGAAGGGTTTCAGGTTCTAGGGTCTATACCTAGAGGCTCATACCCTAACCCTTTTTTAGGGCGCCTACTGTTTGAGATAGAAGATCATAACCATAGAACTAGGTATCAAAAAAGGAGTAGCGTAAGAGCCTCTAGGTAGGGCTTGGTGTTTACAAGACCTTAGCAACTACTTAGTCATGTTTGTTCGCATGGTTCTTAGATATTTATGCTAGCATCTACCCCCGAAAGCCCCAACCGAAGCTGTTCGTGGTCCCAGGCTGGGTTGGCTGCATCATATGGGGTTTGGGGTTTATACTAGGTTCCTGAGTGGCACCATTTTGCCCTTTGCATTTGAGGGTCCCCTTATTGAAACCGAAGAATCGGAAAAAGGGTGCCGTTATTCTAAAGGGAGTACTCAGAAACCTAGTATAAATATGTTATGGGACCCTTTCCTGAACGCAGTATCACCCCACGGCAAGTGACCCTAAACCCCTGTGTGCCTGACTGAGAAACCCCAATGGAGCAGTTTTGCCAGGAAAGCACAGCTGCGATGATGTCAAAACGAGAAGGTCGGGGCCTGCCGCTAGGGAGCCTAAACTACCTGTAGTCTCCATTGTAGTTCCTTTTTTGGCTAACCAAAAAACTGTATCATGGGATCCTAACAATAAAAATGATTCACCATTAAAAATGAATTACAATCCCTAAGGGTCCATGAACTCATATAGTATATACATTGGCCTTAATGTAGTCCCTATATAGGTACTTTGGAGCCAAAGTCTATACTATTTGGGTACATGGACCCTTAGGAAATGGAGACTATAGGTAGAGTAAGGTTCGCTTCAGGGTTGAAAAAACATGAGTTTCGGTGGGCTTCATCAAGCCTGGTAGGGATTGGCATGCCTTTCGAGTGGGTTGGAGGGTTTAAGGCTGAAAATTGGGGTCAGCGCAGCGAGATGGAGACAAGAAAGACGTAGTCATAGCAGGAACAGGTCGCGACATACAAGACCTATAACACCGTCTAGAGCCGAAAACCTCAAGCGCTAACCCCTAATCCCTCGAACCCTGACCCCTCTAAAACTGCCTGAGCACCCTGACCATAAGGGTCCATGTGCACAAATAGTGTATACTTTGGCCCCAATGTAGCTAAATAGGGACTACTTTAAGGCTACAGTGTATACAATAATATACAAATTACTTGGGTACATGGACCCTTAGGCCCTAAACCCTTATGGTACCCCTATAGAGCCCTATTCTAGGAACCCCTAAAGGACCTCATTTTAGGAAAGGTACATGGGACCCGTAAGGTGAGAGTGCCCCTGGAAAGCCATGATCCTGCCAAGTACACCCTCACAGAGCCTCCAAAACCCCTTAATTAAGGAATATACCTTAAATTATAATAGGACCCCTAATATCCCTAATATGATTTTAAGGTATATTCCTTAATTAAGGAATATACCTTAAAATCAGATTAGGGATCCTATGATAATTTAAGGTATATTCCTTAATTAAGGGGTTTTGGAGGCTCTGGGCTAAACCCTAAACCTTGTAGATTTCTGTAAGGAACCCTCTAGATGAAACCTTACTAAGTCCCATGATCCTGCCAAGTAGACCCTAAACCCTGAACCCTAAGCCCTAAACCCTAAACGCTAAACCCTAAGCCCTGGGCATGTTTTCCGCTTGTACAATACCTGTGGTCGCGAGACACACCCAGCGGAATCCCGCTTTCTGGACGTTCAGGCAGATGGAAAAGGGTCGTCTAACAAAAAAAGAACCCTAAACCCTAAGCCCTAAACCCCTAAGCCCTAAACCCTAAGCCCCAACCCCCAAGCCCTAAACCCGAAGCCCTAAACCCTAAGCCCTAACCCCTAAGCCCTAAACCCTAAGCCCTAAACCCTAGACCCTATACCCAGAGCCTCCAAAACCCCTTAATTAAGGAACATACCTTAAATTATAATAGGATCCCTAATATGATTTTAAGGTATATTCCTTAATTAAGGGGTTTTGGAGGCTTTGGGTACCCTAAGCCCCAGCTCCTGTATGCAGGCCTCCGCTCCTTAATTAAGGGGTTTTGGAGGCTTTGGGTAGTACCCTAAGCCCCAGCTCCTGTATGCAGGCCTCCGCTTGCTCGACGACTGGAGCGAAAGCTTCGTGGTGTCACAGGAACCCGGTTAGGGCTTAGGGCTTAGGGTTTAGGGCTTAGGGTTTAGGGCTTAGGGCTTAGGGTTTAGGGTTTAGGGCTTAGGGCTTAGGGCTTAGGGCTTAGGGGCTAGGGCTTATGGTTTAGGGTTTAGGGGGTAGGGTTTACAGTGGGCCCCATAAATTCGGAAGCCGGATTAAGGCCAAATAGTGCTGGGACTCCCTATGTATTGCTCTTAGGGATCGAAGCTATTGGGTTTCCAACTTTTGGGCTTCTACTGTAGGGTTTAGGGTGTAGTCTAGGTGCCTAAGTAAATTACCAATACTATTTTGGGGGGGCCCTTACTAGAACTATAATGTAATGGGCCCCAAAGCCCTATTCAAATTATTAAGGCCTTGTCGTCGGGTTGTCCAGGAGTTTTGAATGCGTTGAGGGTTTAGCGGTTTAGGGCGTTGCGGTGTTTTGTGCTTTTCCTGGACTTAAAGTTCTCCCTGAAGCCTATCCGCGAGATTGTTTGCGGTTTCAGTGTTTGACTCGAAATAGTAGGATCCTGATCTTAAGAAACTGTACAAAAGGTACCAATATCTTAATTACGACAGCTCTCACAGTCAAGGGCATTCCCCAAACCCACAACCCTCAGATGTTAGGCGTTTAACCTAGTACGTCTTCTAAAGGCCCTAAACCCTAAACTCGTACACCCTAAGCCGTACGCTGAAGGAAGCCTAGACCCTGACTCAAAGGGCCCAGGTCCCGAAGTCATGTAGGGGCCTTGTCTACATATTAAAATAAGGAACCCTCTATAATATAGCGGCCTTAATTATATTAGGGTTTTGGGGGGCAAAATTATACTATACCTACAATGAGGAACCCTAAAAGACTATATAGGTAAGTATTTAGGCTGAAAGCCCGGCCCAGCTCTTTGGGTGCTGGGATAGTCCATGTCTTCCTCCCCAAGGGTCCAATATTGTTCTTCTGGAACTAGGTCCCCCAAAGTGTCACAAGGATGGTCCATAATGGTAGTATATATGGTCAGGCGTCTGGCGTTCCCCCGCCCCCCCACCTTACCAGACCATACGATGGTGGGTTGATGCTGGGCGGCCAGGGGTCACACGCAAGCCCTACGAGCCCCTACGCAATCCTTAAACCCCATAAGATGACGCATGCTCCTGTTTTTACTAACCTTAACCTGTACTCTGAAGCACCCAACCCTAAACCCCGCCTAAATGCAAGCTCTAAGCCTAAAGCAGAACATGAACCGTCAACCCTAACGAACCTAACCCTTGTCGATCGAGACCTGATACCGTTAAACAGTAAACTCAAAACTAGCTTAAGCGAAAACCCCTTTGGCCCAAACCCCAAAACCCCACAACCCCCCCACAGGGGTAAGAGAGACCACACCACACCACAGGGGAGGGGGGGCACACCTCTATCCAGACCATTGACCTTCGGGGGGGAGGGGGGGAGCCGCGGAGCGCGTGACCATATATGGTCAGGCGTCAACGCCCCCCCCCCCCCCCATGGAATGGTCTGATAGGGTGGGGGGGGGGGGGGCAGGCTCTAAGCCTAAAGCAGAGCATACACCGCAAATCCTCCCTAAGCCCTTGTCGACTCGAAGCCTTATACCTTGTAACCGTAAACCCAAAACTCAAAAGCTATTAAGCTAACCCCAAAACCCCACAACCACCCCACAGGGGGAAGAGGAACCCCACACCCCACACCACAGGGGGGGCCCCACCCTATATCCGGACCGGAGCGCGTGACCATATATGGCCCTCTGGGCGTGTCTTCTTCTGAGATCTGATAGCGAGCGTTCCCATATTTGGCATTTAGGTGTCGGCCCAAGGACTTTTTTTTGGGGCATTCTGCACTCTCGCAAGGAAAAGCATAGAATTGGATGCCTTCGTAGATTCTGTATATCAGGGGCACGATCGTATATAAGGACGGATTCTGCACGGCTAGCTGGCTAGCTGCGTCAGCGGATGCTCGTAAACCCTCAGCCCGAGATACTTGCCACACAACTTTCGAGGAGGAAGCCATCGTGATCTACAACAATCTTTTCAGGATCAAAGATCGCCTGACACTTGCTTCGATTTGGGGCGCTAAGACCTGCACACTGCAAAATGCCCAACCGTAATTAATTGCCAAACGGCTCCTATTTGAGGCCCTTTAAGAGTTGCTGCATGGGTTCCTGACAGGGTCATTTTGTAAGGTCCAGGTAAAGGTTAATGTAGGCACCTGATTGAGAAACCCTATGGCCTTTACCTCCAAATCAGTAGGATTCATATAAGGAAAAGGCCCCAAGGTTTCTTAATTTGGCTCCTACATTACCATACAGGCTAGTGTAAGAGTTGTCGCAGGTACCTCGTCCAGATATGTAGGATTTGTAGGGCATAGAGAATGTTAGGGGGCTAAGGGGAGGGGGGTAGGGAGGGCAGGGGTCCATCTAATTAAGGAAGTCTAGTCCCCTACCCCCCTGCCCCTTAACCCCCTTCAGGGTCCCTATGAGTAGAACGATCTTCCGAATTGCATCCATCATTCTCAGTGTGTCGGCTGAATTCACATCGGATGTAGATCAAGCAGAAGGTTTTCCACCAAAGGCCATGTTAACGTACCTACAAAATATATACTTAGGCCGGAGAAGAATGCACTCCTGACTAGGCAGTTTAGGGTCCAAGTCTATATAATGATGTAAACCCTAAACGACCGTTTGCCCCAAACGACCGTTTTCTGCATGAGCCTGCTTTAGGGATTTAGGGGTTTAGGGTTTATGGGTTCAGGGTTTATGGGTTTGGGGGTAGTGGTTTAGGGGTTCAGGGTTTATGGGTTCAGGGTTTAGGGGTTTAGGAGGGTTGAGGATGGAGGGTTTCCTGAACCTGCACTTCCCTGGAGCACTGACATGGGAACGGCCAAGGAAGAACTCGTCAGGGACGCCGGTGGGCACAAGCATGCAATCTGTGAGCAATGCCTTCCACATGCCGCCTGACTTAATTTGCGAAGCAGCTTAGACCATACTCCTTTCAACCTCATCATAAGCCCTGCAAACCCTGGTTCCGAAACCCTCAACCCTGAACCCTTAACACAGCTCTATGACAACCTTGTCAAGCCGCAACGAGGCCTGCCGTCAAGACAGAAGCCAAAACCAGACTCGACAGAAAGCCCTGAAGTTTAGACCAGAAGAACCTGCATGCTAAACCCTAAACCCGCAAATCCCTCAACCCTAAACCACCAAACCCCAAACCCCTAAATGCTAAACCCCAAACCCTCAGCCATACTTGAAGGCTCATGGGACTTAGTAAGTAAGGTTATAAGTAGGTTATAATTAGGATAACCCCACTTAGGGGACTTATAACCCCAGTTATAACCTACTTACTAAGTCCCATGATCCTCTAAGTAGGGCCTAAGCACCAGCTCTGAGGCTTGATACCAATCCCCCCAACCCGGAGGGTTTAGGATTTAGGGCCCCAGGCGACTTAGATCTCAGCTGCCAAGGGACCTGACTGGGGTTACCTAAGTTAAGGGATTTCTAGGGTTCCATAAGGTGGTATTTAGGGTAACTTGCAGGATCATGGGGCTCAGCTCATTAGGGCTATTGCTTTGTTAACTATACTCGGAATTACGTACAGCCCCAACGAAGTTTAAGGTACTTATAAGCTTGCTTACTGAGTCCCATGGTCCTCCAAGCATTATCGTTTGTTGGCACATTTCTCAATTAAAGTAAAAGCCAGAAAGTTGGAATATGGTTATCCTAAACCCTTTATGGTAAATTATAAGGTATCCTACCCTGAAACCATATTCCAACTTTCTGGAGTTCCCCTTAAGGTACCAAGGTGTCGATGGTTTACCATCCTGGGTCGTGGATCCGTAAGGTTTTTGATTCAGGGCTTAGAGACCAGGCTTGACCCTGAAACCCCAAAAAGGGACTCTTGGGGTTCTAGGACCCAGAGTAGACCCTTATTCCCTTTTTTGAGGCTTAGGTTCCCTTAGAAACCCCTTTAAACCAAAAAGGGCACCCTTTTTATTCCTAGGTTACTCTTAGGTCTAGAGTTTAGGGTTAGGGCTTAACACTTAGGGAACGGATTATGCTCTCCGGGTTTCAGACCTGCCCCACTCAAAATCTGAAAACCGCGACCCTCTAGTTTAAGGGGCCGAGCACTTCATCTAGAAGTCTCAACAATCAGTTGTCGTTATCACCTACCTAACGGTTCCTTACTCTAGCTACAGCTTGGTATGGCAGACGATGCCATCACAATTTTTATTCTAGTTAAGAAGACGCTCCACATAAAACCCAAAACCTTATCCGCACTACAGCAAGGAACCCCTCAGGTGGCCGACTCTAGTATCAAAGGCCCTGCATGAAACGCCAAACTTCCAAGCCCCAAGGCCTACAAATTACAAAGGACCTTAAGCGTTACATACCAGAGCACAGCGCTAAACCCTAAACCCTCAGGTGGCTTGGGAAGTGGCACTACTTCTGGCAGATTTTCACCCTCGGCCTCGTCTTCGTGGCTTCCTGGGCTGCAGTTTAGGGCTTTGAAGATTTTTGGTGGGGGGTTCAGGGTTCCTTTAAAGGGATCTTTAAAGGGGCTCCTTTAAAGGGATCTATAGGGTTCAGGGTTCCTTTAAAGGGATCTTTAAAGGGGCTCCTTTAAAGGGATCTATAGGGTTCAGGGTTCCTTTAAAGGGATCTTTAAAGGGGCTCCTTTAAAGGGATCTATAGGGTTCAGGGGGTTTTAGGGGTTTAGGGCCTCAGGGGTTCAGGGGCTCGGGAGTTGGAGGCCAGGCGGGCTTACTTGAAGGCTCATGGGACTTAGTAAGTAAGGTTCCTTAAAGGGATCTAAAAGGGATCTATAGGGTTTCTATAAGAGTTCTATAAGGAAGCTCATGGGACTTAGTAAGGTTATAAGTAGGTCATAATTAGGATAACCCCACTTAGGGGACTTATAACCCCAGTTATAACCTACTTACTAAGTCCCATGATCCTCTGGAGTATCGAGGGTTTGGTGGCTGGGGTCCAGCATGTTTCGGCGAGGTCGACGGACATGTAACCCAAGGATCCTAGAGTTTGTCTTGGCTCATTTGTATGGCAACTTACTTAGGGGATCATGGGACTTAGTAAGTAGGTTAGAACTGGGGTTATAAGTCCCCTAAGTGGTGTTATCCTAATTATAACCTACTTACAACCTTACTAAGTCCCATGAGCCTTCAAGTAGACTAAGTTCCTAGATATGGGAGTCTCCGAAATGGGGGACCCTAATATAGCATCCTGAATAGTAGGATCCTTATTATAAGGACCCCCAAATGAGGTACCCCTAATTTTCGGAAACTCCCATATGGGTTCGAGATGCCAGGCCCCGGGGGGGTTATTTTCAGGGGCTTGTTAGGGTTTAGGGTGATTTAGCCTTGAGCGGCTCAATAAACGAACCTGACTTCCCTAAACCTTAAGTCGCCAGCCTAGAATCGTTAACGCGTGCCTGGGGATCCAACCCTAAAACCCTAAAGCCCGAAGCCCTAAACCCGAGAACCCTAAACCCTAAGCCCTGAACCCTAGACCCTAAAGCAGATGATCGCCTAAAGCTTTCTGGCTTTGGGGCCACAGGTCAAATCAGTCCAGCAGTCAAGGAGCCCGAAACCCTTTAAAGCTTTGGTTCGCCACCCTAAATCCTAAACCCTTCAAAGGACCCAGAGCCTCCAAAACCCCTTAATTAAGGAATTTACTTTAAAGTCTAATAGGATCCCAAATATGATTTTAAGGTATATTCCTTAATTAAGGGGTTTTGGAGGCTCTGGGGACCCCCAGAAAGAACCTTTAAAGGCCTAAACCCGAAGCCCTTAAAGGCTTTAAACCCTTAAAAGGACCCTCAGAAGGAACCCTTACTCGACGGCTCTGAACCCTAAGCCCTTAAGGGCCCTAAGCACTAAAACGGACCCTTGAGAAGGAACGTTTTAAAGCCCCTAAAACCTAACCCCTTCAAGGCCCTAAACCCACAAAAGGACCCTTAGAAGGAACCCTAAGTCTTCAAGGCCCGAAGCTCTGAACTCGTAAAGAGGCTCTGAGCACGACCCCGACAGCCCTAAATCCTTGCTTTTGGTCCCCGTGTCAAGAACCCGAGGACTTCCTTGCTGTGCCCATCAATCTTGCCTGGGCAGGTCATTTGGCAGTTTCCGAAAATTAGGATTACCTTGTTTTGCGGTCGCCTTGTAATACGGATCCTACTATTTAGGGTACTATGTTCGGGTCCCCTATTTTCGGAAGTTCCCATTTGCCAAAATAGTTAGGGGTTTGAGGGCCAGGGTTTTGGGCTTAAGGGTTAGATGTTAGGGCTTTGGGTTTGGGGTTTAAGGTTTGGAGTTTGGGGTTTCGGGGTGTAGGGTTTAGGGTTCTGAGGTTGAGGGTTTAGGGTATCTGTTAGTTTTCTGTTGAGGGGATTTATATTAAGGGCTCTGTGAGGGTTGCAGCAAGGACTGGCGTTTTAAGGGTTAGGGGATTCTCACATTCGGGATGGGCCAGTCATCTGTCTTTGGTGGGCTTTACAAGACGTTCTAGAAGGGCTCTGTGGGGATTGCACACAGTGCTATCAGGCTTGCGGGTAGTGAGCAAGGCTTCTAAATTTCGAGATTAGGGTTGATCTGCTTACGCCAATTTGGTGGATTCGGGCCGGTTTGGGCTTGAGGCTGCTTTAGACTGCGGGGCAGTGTAGGGTATGATTGTATGGTGGCGGGGTCGGTTTTTTCGGAGGTGTCTTTTGAAGGACAACGCGATTATGGCGGTTTATATGGTCTTGCACGGATGTTTCAGGGCTTAGGGACCCGGGAAGCGCCTCAGGTTTCATAATCAAGGAGTCAAGCTAATGTAAGAACCTGGTCAAGCAACCTTGGGCATTTATTAGGGTTCCTTGTATGGATCCTACTATTTTGGGGGTGCTAGGCCCAGGGTTTCTTAATCAGGTTTCCATATCAGCCTCCCCGAAGCTCGAACACTTGTCGTACCCGACCGACCAAAAAGCTGAATCCTCGAATACCCGTGGCACACCATATAAGACCTCAGAAATTAATTGTGCTGTGAACAGCCAGAAGCTCTACCTAAACCCTAGGCACTGCGAAGTGTTTCTGGCACTTAAAGCCCTACTTAAAGGATCATGGGAGTTTGTAACTAGGGTTAGTATTAGGGTAACTATACTTATAGTTCAACTAGGGTACTCATAACCTTACTTACTAAGTCCCATGATCCTCCAACTACTGTTTTAGTACTGTAGCTACTTGGGCCCTAAAGGCCGGGTTCAGGGCGCAAGCCTTGTGTCAAAGCCTTCACAAGAACTTGCCTGAGCCCTCTAACCCTGAACCCCTAAACCTTACAACATCCTGAACCCCTGCTCCGGCGGCGAAAGTCCCAACCAAACCCCCAAAAGAAACAAAACCACAAACGCGAGCCCCAAAATCCTAAATCCCAAACCGCTCAATCCTTAACCCATAAAACCTGAAACCTCAGGCCCTAAGCCGCAAACCATCGCAAGCCCTAAATCCTAAGCCCTAAACACTATGCCCGAGACCCTGAACCCCAAAGCCCCAAACCCTAAACCCCTAAAGCCCCAAAGCCCTAAACCCCTAAAGCCATCTATACCCCCCCCCCCCCCGGAAGGACCAAATGACCCGTAAAAGTAGGGGCCCTCTACCCATATGCTATGAATCCCTATATGGTATATGAACCCTAAAAAGGTCTAGTTTCCCTAAGCCTTTGAACTCCCTAAACCCAACATCCAAAGCTCGAAGAAGCGAAATGAAAAGCCGGAGCTGATGCTGGCCCTAAACCCTTAAAGCTAGAGCAAAACTCAACCCTTCCTGTAGCCGGCAAGACCCAGCTTTTTTCGGTTCCTTATAATGGCTTCGATATATCGTTCTCTAAAAAGGTCTTAAAACTAAAGCTTGAACCGGTTTAGGGTTTAGGGATTAGGATTTAGGGTTTAGGTTTTGAGGTATTGGGTTTAGGATTTAGGCTTTAGGGTTTAGTGTTGAAGCCCAAAATCCAAATCCTAAGCACCAAAAATCCGCCAGATGAAAGCCGGGGCTCGGAATTGATGGTGGCGTATTTCCGTGTCGCCCCCTTTCTTTGGGGCCGCTCGCTGAAAGATCTGATCTGGGGTTTAGGTTCTGGGATTTTGGGGTGAAGGGTTTGGGTTTTGGAGTTTGGGTTTTGGGGTTTAGGGTGTAGGTTTTGGAGTTTGGGGTTGTGGTTTTAGGCTTTAGGTTTTGAGATTTTTGGATTTAGCTTTAGGGTTTAGGGTATAGGGGTCAATGTAGCCATATAGCATATACACTTCGGACATACTTTAAGGCCAATGCATATGCTATAGGAGCTACGATATAAGCCTCAAGAATTACCAATCTTGTTCCATAGGGACTGATTTTACCATGGTTTACCCCAATACCCCATTCTCATACATTGCACTTCCTAATCGGGTTCTGTTGAGGCTTCCTTTTGGGGCTGGGAATCCTTCTGGGGCTGCACTAAGGGTTCTTTTTGGGGAGTTCGCTGGGGTTCAGGGTTCGGTGTTTAGGGGGATTTTTTCGGGCTTAGGGCATGTTGAGTTTGGGTTTAAAGGAACCCTAGAGAACCCTAGGGAACCCTAGAGATCCCTTTAAAAGAGCCCTAGAGAACCCTAGAGATCCCTTAAAAGGAACCCTCGGAGGGCTTGGAGGTTGCAGTTTGGGGCGTGAGGTCCAGGGTTCGAGAGACTGGTTTGGAAGCTTCGGAGGCTTCCTTTCCGCCTGGCTCCCGTCAAAATAGAGGCCCGCGCTATTTGTAGTGATATCCTCTGATAGCTACAAAATGATGCTATGATATACCTGAAACTTAACACCACTGAACCCGCAACTCTGACACGTCGAAGGCTTCGATGTGATCATGTCCTTTGTGCCGGGGCTTTTGGAGAAGTCGATTGAAAAGGGCTTCAACCGGATCAAGTCCTACATTTTCAGGAGGTGTCGCGCATTGAGGGTTTAGGCTTCCTTCGAGAGCTTTTTTAAGGAATTCGGGGTTCAGGGCTCTTTTGGAGGGTTGAGATGGGAGTCCTGTGGAGGGGACCTGTTTTGGGGGTGCACGGTCTTGTTACACCTCATTTGGTTTAGGGTTTAGGGTTGTTTCAGAGATTTTTGGTTTCCATGTAATCAGCAACAGGAGACTTAGTTTAAGACTGTGGGCTTGAAGTGACAGGCCAACACGTACAAGGCTTTGCCTACTTGGGACTGTGGGCTTGGGGTTAAGGCGCATAGGTTTAGGTCTTACTTAGTTACTTGCCTCTTCAGTTCTGGCTTTCTCACAAACGGTAGGGTTGTTCGGCATTTCTTGTTTTGCGCTTGTAGCTGCTTCTATGGTCATCACACGCGTATCCGTATTATAATCTTGAGCTTGAGCTTTATTAAGATGCACTGGGAGCGCTACCGTCACCTCTCTGACAGGCACGGTGGCACTACACTTACACAAACACGTTATATACTCTACGAGTGCCCGTGATGTCGATCACTTTGCTGGTGAAGAGATAGTGGAGTCCTGGAGTAGGATACAATAACGATGGTCACCAAGATAGACAGCTCAAAGATTCTCCAGCGACAGCTTGTATTGCCATAAACGGTCTTTGCACTAAGGGTCCAAGTACCTGAATAGTAGGGTTCAGGTAAAAATCAGTGAGAGTATAGGTGTCAGTGCCTAAAGCTCTACTAAGTAGTTGGCTAGTTGGCCTCCCGGTCTTTCTTTCTGTCTGTCTCTCTCTCTCTCTCTCTCTCTCTCTCGCTCGCTCGCTCTCTCTCACCCTCTCTGGCAAAACTCCACATCACCTAGCACGAAAGCAAGAAAGCCCTAGGCCCCTAAAGACCACAGCGTACCGGCCCGCACAAGCCTGAAATCCACTCCTATAGAACCATGATAGACCCTGAAAACTGACAGAACGCACTGACCATCATACGCAACCGTCGGCCGACAACGCCAACGCTGAAGCCTGCATTTTCACCGGCACAGGCCCCAAGGCAACCGGTCATGTAAAAGGGCCTAACCACCGAGCACCCCATCTGCGGCCAGGTTCTTTATCGATGTCGGTCTCGTTGTCTTAGACTTCGTGCTTCTCGGACTGGGGAAGCACTTTTCAGGTATTGTGTAGGGTTGATGTACCGACATGGGGTTTAATACGATGTCTCGCAGGATATTTCGGGATGCTCTGACCGGTCCTTTAAGGGTTTCTAAGGTTCCGTTCCAGAAAGGATTGGAACAGGGCTTCAGGGTTCAGGTCTTAGGAGGTTTGAGGGTTTGCATACCCCTGACCCCACACCCTAAACTTCTAAACCCTAAGCCCTTAAGCCTAAGCCCCTTAAACTCTAGATTCAGTCGAAGTTGTCTGGGGTGCTAGTCTTGAGTGGTTAGGTTCCTGGGGAGTTCCCCAGGAAGAACGGTTTAGGTTTTAGGTTTTAGGATTCCACAAAACCTTCAGTTTGAGTCTACTTAAACTTTAACTTCGGATATAGTTACACCCTGAGTTCGGCTAAGGGGTAAGGGGAGGGGGGCAGAGGGCCTGCATAGCCCTATAACAAGGAGTTGAGAAAGGTCTAGTAAGGACTACCTATTTCTGTCGTAGAGAAACCTACCCGCTTCCCCCTCGCCCCTACTGATCCGCATGATTAGTGAAGGAGTATATACTTTACAATGAAGGAGTATACTTTGTAGTCGATATGCTTTACCCTAACATAGATCTTCGGAGGCCTGATGTTATTCTCAAGACGTGTTACACGGTATACAGTGGATTGTAGTACGTCTGATGTTATGCTCAAGACATACTATGCATCATAACGGATTGTAGGAGGTTCCATGTTATGTTCAAGACATCTCTACTATTGTTTCATGCGTGCAAGTTAGATGCCTGGTAACTGGTGGCTGCTGGTCGGATCAGGATAACCTTTAGATTTCCTCAAGCACCGGACGAGAAGTAGCAGCCACAAGCCGGACGCTTTCCGAGAGGGTCCATATATACTAACATTATGGAAACAGGACCAAAACGACCGTCCTCACGAGCATTAACTGTGGTTTAGAGACTTGATTCGAGAATAATTAGCAGTGCACGTGGACCCGTTAGGTTCTGATGGGTTTAGCCGCTTTTCCATGTTGTGAGCTCTGTTCGTAGCTGTGTTTTGCTTTCCCCCTAAACCCTAAACCCTAAACCCTAAACCCTTAAACCCTTAAACCCTAAACCCTTAAACCCTTAAACCCTAAACCCTAAACCCTAAACCCTAAACCCTTAAACCCTAAACCCTTAAACCCTAAACCCTAAACCCTAAACCCTAATCAGAGTGAAACTCCAAGGGCTTCTTGTGTTTGTCTTTTTTTCCACGGGCACACAAGACAAACTTGGGCTTAGGAAGGTTCGGAAAAGAGCGTAAACATCACAGCTTGGGTGTCGTTTCCTGTCTTGAACTTAAGCTATCATAATTTGAGAAGCCTAATATTACTTGCCTGCGATCCCGATTATAGTAGTTTTCGCATGCATACATATATACATATATACATATCACAGATCGTGGGGGCCCTCTTGACAGCAACTCAGACGAAGATAAACGCCCTAGCAATCCTTTCCTGGTATTGTAACCCTAAGCGTCCATGTACCCATATACAGATACATGGGCCCCAAGGTACCTATATAGGGACTACATTTAAGGCCAATGTATATACTATATGAGTACATGGACCCTTAGGGTAATCCATCATAGCAGCCCGATTCAGCCCCTGTTTATAAGGCTACTCAATGGGCTCCTGAACGAGAACTTCCGGGCGTTCAGCCTCATCCGCCTATCCCGGATCACGAAGTTCAAAGGCGCGATATTTTACAGCGTTTGAGGAGGGTTTAGGCTTTAGGGTAGCGTTAGGAGGAGGGTGTAGGATGTGATGGATTGTTTGCGTGAGGAATTGGGGATCAATATGAAAGTGTCTAAATTTTCTTGGTTTAGAGGGTCGTTTGCAGTGTGTCTAGGAGCTTTGGTTTTCTGAGTCTCGGGTTTGGGATTTAAGACGACATGTTGTGTGTTGTCGGGCAAAGACATCCACCTCCAACCGATCCGGACCAGGCAGCCAAGCCAGAACCAGCAAATGCAAATCCATACGGTTGATGATATTTCCTTATGATGGGTAATGCAGGATCTATATCACCGACCGTATTTACCTGACTTACCTTTTGTACGAGAGCAAATCTAGATAAGGAGCATGGCAGGAGTGTGCCTTCCTTCTTAGGTAGTTCTGCAACTTCGGGTCCCGTTTCTAGGTCCGAAAACATGGTACGGCACACTCTTGAAAAAGAACCCCAAAGGAATCCTGATTTACATTTAGATATCTAGACAGATAGTGACAGTCGATATTGCTGGTCGGGCCGTATGGTCGTCAGCGCTACACCAGGCCCTGCACACTAAACCCATAAACCTTAGAATCAATGCCCCTCACTTGGAGGGTCGGAAGACTTAGTAAGTAGGTAGTAAGTAGACTTATAAGTACCCTAAAAGAGACCCTAATTGGGGTTATGGTACTTATAAGTCCCTAAAATAACCAGTTACTAAGTCCCCCGACCCTCCAAGCAGGCAAAACAGCCCCAAATCGAACAGGACAAGGTCCCAGAGCAAACCCAGAAGCGCCCAGACTCAGACGCGGCGACCTCTGGAAACCAAGTACTTAAAGGATCATGGGACTTAGTAACTTAAAGGGTTCCTGAAAGGGTTCTTTAAAGGGATCTATAAAGGGATCTATAAGGGATCTATTGGGGTTTAGGGTTTAAAAGATCATGGGATTTAGCAACTGGGGTTATTATTAGGGTAACTACACTTATAACCCCAATTAGGGTACTTATAACCTTACTTACTAAGTCCCATGATCCTGCAAGTAAAACCCGCGCAGACACTATGCGGCCCCTCAATGCAGAAAAGAAGAAGCCCCTATACCCTAAACCATAAGACCTAAACCCTATAAGCCCTAAACCCTATAGGCCCCTTTGAAGGATCCGTTATACAGATCCCTGTAAAACAGCCCTATAACCCTCTTAGATAGCCAATGGGGGAACTTTAAACTTTTTAGCCTTATATATCTGGTCTATCTTAGAAAGTTTAAACCTTTTTGGGCCCGACTATTGAACCCTAAACCCTAAACCCTAGAGCCCGGTAAACCCTAAACCCAAAGCCCCAACACCGGGGTGACCTTGGGAGGTGTGGTCGGCTCATGGGAGCATCTTCGGCTTGCTTTGAGAGAGAGGATTCTAGGGTTCCTTTAAAAGGCTACTATCAGGGTACTATAAGGGGTTCCTTTAAAGGGCTCTATAAGGGTTCATGTTGGGAGTTTCCGAAAATAGGGGACTCCCCTAATATAATACCCTAAATAGTAGGATCCTTGTTATAAGGACCCCAAAGTAAGGTACCCCTAGTTTTCGGAAACTCCCAGATCAGCAAGAGGGTCCAAAGCACTACGTTTAGGGTTTAGGGGTTTAGGGTTTAGGTTTAAATCATCCCATATTTCATGGAAATTATCCTAATAATGGTATTGGGGACCGACTTCCAGAATGGTAGCAAATATGGACCCTCTGGATTAGGGTTCTTTGCGCCCTGCGCCCTAAATCCTGGCTTCTACAAGAAGTAGGGCCTAGGGTCTTAGGGTTTAGAAAGAATCGCCTTTGGCCGCTACTGCATCAACCTAGAGGGTATGTATGGGGCTTGAGGGCTCGGGGGCAATGAGGGTTTGGGCCTCTGGAATCTTAATGCAATGTAGGGCTGAGGGCTTTAGCGGTGTTCTGGCTTTGGGGTTGGGGGCCCCAGCGCTTTAGGGTTTTGCATTTTTGGCTTCGGTTTAGGGCTCTATATACCCTGAACATTACAAGCCTCAGACCCTCACCCCTAAACTCCGGGGAATATGCATTGGTGTTTTGTTGTTTTGTTGGAGAGGGGGTGTCGTTCATGGCTCTGTGTTTTCAGATTTCCGAGTTCGGAGACTCAGGTTCAAAGCCAGTTCGCGCACCCACGAGATCCAACAGCCTTTTCTAAATCCACCATACCCTGAATCCCAGCTAGCCTTCACCAAGGAATCGGCTGGCGGCGTCAGGGAACATGCGATTCGTGCCTCGGCTTGTTTCATGTATTGGACCGGATGTTGGATTGATTGAAGCCCATGTGGTAGTTTTTGCAAACTTTTGCCGGGAAGATTGGGTATGTTTCGGGCTTTTGCGAGCCTGGTTGTAATCTCAGATTGCAGCGCGAAGTGCTTGTTTCACCGCTTTGGGAGTCTTGCAAGGGCATACTACTACCAGTTTAATCCTTTTTGTGAGGGAACCCAAATGAGGAGCTATGTATGTGCTCACACCACTGTACTACAGTGCTTTATAGGGTGTATCCAAGGTCCAAGGAGAGTTTCGAGTTTAACCGATCAAAGTATCATTGTTGCAAGTAAGTTTTTTAAATGGGCGTTGTCATCTACAGTAAACGTCTATGCTCACGAGTAGACACAACCCAGGACACAGGGTCAATTGGGGCCGCGATGACACACAACGGCTGATGATATAAGTCCTGCATTGCCTTAAGGGCACTAAACTATGGGAATTATAGTATATTCCTTATTATGGGTCATGCAGGATTTATATCATCAACCGGAGGATCTGAAAAGTAGATCCCCTAATTTGGGGCCCTATACGTCAAATTTAGGGTGCTTCATTACCCGCATTAAGGGATCTACTTTTTGGATCCTCCCGGGGGTCTGGGAAACGATTGTTGGTCATACTGACATCCCATTCTGTGTTCCAGAAAACCTGCCCCAGCGATACCCATGGTTATCCTCAGTAGACTCCCCACAGCCCCAAAACGAGGCAACATACAAAACACACACCGCCTTCATGGCATAGAGCCTAGGGTGTTTGCGTAGGCTAGCGGGTGAAAGCAGTGTGTAATCAGGTTTTCGGATTGAAAACATGAGCCTGTTCGTAGTTAGGGCCTGGTAAACGAGCCGTTTGGGCCCAGGTGCTTTACCTCACGATCTTCCAAGCCATCGCCAGGGTGCTGGCCGTGAACCACGTGCTAGCCTGCCTATTGTGACGCGTCTGGTATCATATTTTCGGTCCACCAGTAGTACCAATATGCCCATTTATTCTGCGGTCTCCTTTGCTTGTGGAAATGCCGCACTCTTTAAGGGGCGAACTGCAGAACCGAAATAATCGCTGTTGCTCTAGAGTGGTGCGATCAATTGTAAGCTTAGCACGCCGTGTATCTAAGTATTGGTTTTGGGTTTGCACAACCCTGAACCCCGAAACCCTAAACCCTACTTGGAGGGTCGGGGGACTTAGTAAGTAGGTAGTAAGTAGACTTATAAGTACCCTAAAAGGGACCCAAATTGGGGTTATGGTACTTATAAGTCCCTAAAATAACCAATTACTAAGCCCCCTAAACCCTAAACCCTAAACCCTTACAGAATCCCTATAGATCCCTTTAAAGGAACCCTAAAGGAACCCCTTATAGTTACTAAGTCCCCCCGACCCTCCAAGTAAACCCCGAGCCTGGCAAAGCTACGAACCCTTCCCCTCCCACCTTCACCCACACAAAAAGAAAGTTGGAGGGGGCGGGCTCTAAAAAGGGGTCCCGAAAAAGGTGGTCTTTAAGAAAGGAACGCAATGTTTGCGGTTTAACTTCCGGGTCCTTCACTTTCTCAGAATGGCTTTTTCGACTCTTCGACTAACGGGTTGGATCTTAACCGGGTGCGTTTGATGTTTGAAGGGTTGGCTGGTTATCCGTTTAGACTGTGTGCATTCGTGGTGGTGCACTTGTGTGCCATTTGGTCGCGGTTGATGATTTTCTCGCATTTAGAACTTAGAGGTTCGTGGTTCTCCTGGGTAACCGAATCCAGGGGGCGACGAATCAGCAATTTATCCCCCTTGGTGGGTACAGTATACTCATACTACAACATACCCCTATTGAGATCATTCTGACCCCATTTCACCATGGAGCTCTTCCAGAGATCCTAGGGTAGAGGCTTAAACCCTAGCAACTATGCCCCAATCCCTACAAATTGAAGTGCTGTGGATTCCGGCTTCGCAAAACTACGCCAAAAGGGAACCACAGCTACTGCTAGTTCTAGGATATGTTCTGTGCTGCTTCGAGTGTCCGTGGTTGCAGTGCAAATAATCCAGATATAGTTGCCCAAATCCAATCAGAGCTTTCTAGGCTTCCCCCAAGGGATTGTCTCAGCATTAAAGTAACTACATAGTACAAGAGGTATGGATTTACTCGCCATGGTTTTGGGGAATATTGTATCCTCTCTACAGGTACCTGTGGTCGTCCGGTTTTGAGCAGAAATAATCCTTGACAGGCTTGAGGTGATTAATTGAGTTGTGCTGGCTGCGCCTTCGAGATCGTAGCAAAGCCTAAGCACCACATGAACCCTTGAAGAGCTTCTTCGTCAATCACCCTGACTTACGGAGGATGGGGAATGAAGGTGCGTACACATTTATGAGAGGACCACACAGCCCCGGATAAGTTCGACGGTCAGTTCATGGTGATGCACAGGTTAGTCTTCAGCCTTGATGCAAACCCTCAGCCCAAAGCCCCGCTGCGCAACTGCAGGTATTACGTTGGCCGTATCGGCGATGAAAATGGGTTGCCGAACTGGATCGTGCGCTATGGCGTTCGCAGACAGCAATTAGCCACCAAACCCTTGTCTAATACGAAGCCGGCATAATGTAATTACCAATATTACAGTATTTTTCCTCCGGATTCCTTTTGCAAGGACTAGGTAGAACTGTATGGGGAAGCCACACACGGTGCAGAGTTTACGGATTGTAGAGTTAAGTTGCTGAGCGTACCCTTCCGCCTTCAGCTCTAATTTAGCAGCATGTAGAAGAAGCTCGCATCAAGATCGGTTAAATACGTACTCTACACGCTTCATAATTTTGGGTGGCATGTCCTCCAAAGTCTTGCGAGATTCAAGGGAACTTATCAGGGTGTTCGATGGCGTTGGCTCAGAAGCGAAAGGTTCGAAGTTACGGGTTGTCCCAGAAGGTCCGTAATAAATTTTGACTTCCGCCTCAGCCCAGTGTTCAAGCACTCCTCTTGTATCCGAAGCCCTAAGCCCCCACCCTGTCTGCAAGGTCTCCGACTTCAGCACAATTTTCAAGTACATGCTCTGCTTTAACTGGGTGATTGCGGAATACACGCCTGCACCCTTCCCGCCTCTCGGATCGGAGCCGTTTAGGCTTTAGGTTTAGGTATTGGGGTTTAGGGTTGAAAGGTTGTCATTTAGGGTTTAGGGTGAAAGAACCCCAGGGTGGTCTTAGACTAGGCCCTTTTTTCCCTTTTTGTAGCCCTAGCTTCATTATAAAGTTACCGAATACCAAAACAGAGGAGCCCTTTTTATTCTTGGGTTACCGGGCATCCTAGATTTGGGCCTTCGGGGGGGGCTGCAGGTGTTTATTTCGAAGAGGACGCGCTGCTGGGAGTTCAGGGTGCTGACATTGGGCTTATAGGGGCTGAGGAATAGGGTTTAGCGTTTGGGGAGTAGGGCTTGTAGGGATAAGAGACCCAAAGGGTCCAAGTATTAGTATGGTATATACTTAGACCCCAAGAATACCCTATGAGTATATACCATAATGATACTTGGACCCTTTGGGAGACTTTGGGAGAGGGTGTTGAGCTGGAGCCAGAAAAGTTGCCAACATCCGGCAGCATACGTGTCTAGGTGGTTTGGGTTGCGTGGGCCATTCGGGTAAAAGGCCTTCCTTCGTAGCCGCACCGGCTGTAAGGTTGGGTTTAGAGTGCGAGGGTTTGAGGGTTTAGAGCTTACTTCGGGGGGCCGGCCGTACTTTGTTTTTTTCGTAGCACTGGTTGCTGTCCTGCCAAGGCTTAAGCTACAACAGTGAGGATGATAAGGTTCGAGTGCCGTTTTCTGCCAGAATGCACAAAACACAACCCACAAGTTTCTTAGGATATGACACTTGAAACCAAAGAACCTGGGTATACGGGTTTGGGATGTGGGGCTAGGTACAGGCACGAAACCATCCGAGTCGGAAAGCACTGAAAGCCACTGGTTGAGGTATCAGCCGCAGAACGAGTACGAGCAGGCAAGATGCATCTGGCTGTATACTGCCTAAACCCAACAATCCCTGGAGCCTAAACCCTATATAAGGCTTAGGCTTAGTTGAGGGCAAAATGCCAGCGCTGCTTTGGAGAAAGGGTGCACATCAACTTTAGAAAAAAAACTACAAGGCTTGAAAACTCTGAACCAGCCGAAGCTCGCAACAAAAGCAACAAGATTAAGTTGGTCTGGAGTCTGAGCATGTGGAATTGGTGCAACGCCCCAACACAGCAAAGCCCTAATTCAACCCAGTATTGCTGCTCTTGCAAGTCTTTCACCTGGGGTGGTGGTCATCATGTTCTAGCTGCTAGCTTGTAAGGCAACTTCAAGTTCAAAGTCAAAGGGAGCCGGTTTAGGGCTTGGGTTTAGGGTTCCTAGTCATCTAGCAATAATTCCTAACAACCTTCACACCCAAGACCGGTAAGCCTGCCTGCACCTCACTGAAGCCCCTGCTGAAACCTTAAGAGGTGCTGAGGATCTTACCAGTTCTTTATGAATGACTTCATGATGGCTGAGCATGGCGATAAGCGTTCTTTCGATATATCTATGAACCTAAACCTTAAGCCCTAATCCTTATCCCGCGAACGAACAATCAACCAATGAATCAACTATCTATCTGTCTATCTATCCATCCTTCTATCGTTGGCGTTCTATTGTTGTTTTTGTTTATTACTTAATTCTCTCTCTCTCTCTCTCTCTCTCCCTCTCTTTCACTCTCTCTCTCTCTCTCTCTTCTCTGTCTGTCTCTCGCCTATCCATCCATCCGTCCATTCATCCATCTATCCATCCATCCGCCCATCCGCCGGTAGCAATTATCCATCGGTCTGTCTCGCTGTATATCTGTTGTTGCATCTGTATATCGACCTCTAACAGTTACATCCAATCACTACATACATGCAGACTACATACGTACTGAGAGAGTGAGCGGGAGCGAGCTGACAGAAAGCCCACGACTCTGAAGCCCAAACCAAATCTGGAGCCGTTGAACACAGGCCGTCATCATCGTGATTATCCTCTCCTGTCTGCCACACGGCTACACAACTCTGTGGCCTTAACTCGCACCGCCCAATAACACTCCAGGCTTAAGGGTTTACGGTTCAATGCTTAGGGTTTGGGTTTCGGGTTCCGGTTCTCTGGCTTGGAGCATTGGCGGTTTAGGGTTCAGGGTGCAGTCCATCAACTTGAATTTGGGAGCCGGAATAGTTACCATCAGTATTCCCCTGTGCTCCAACACGCCCAAAAACTGTTCATAACTAAAAGTTTAGCATTCAGGGTTCAGATCAGCATGCAATGCGCAGGATGTAAAGGTTTCGGGCTTAGGTTCCGGGTTTGGGATTAAGCTGTTATGTGCTTCATAGACTGTTACGATTTGGGCCGAGACAGCCTGATGTCGTGATGCGCGACGTTGCCTTAAACCGTAGCGCAAGAAACCCAAGATACAAGAGGAACCCTTAGAATATCAGGATCGTAGATGGGATGATGGGTCCCCAAGTGGGTTCCTTGCTCTTGACCTACCTGCACAGTTTCCCGGTATCAACAACAGTCACCTGAACCCCACACCTGCTTAACATTGAAGAAGGCTCAAGAATCAACAAACCATAATTAAATATGGCCCTCTCTTGTCCTGATGCGATCAAACAAAGCCCGTTAAAATGCGACAAAAAAGCGCTCCTACGCCCGAAGTCCCTAAACCCTAGACCCTAAACATTCGAGGCCTCTGTTGGGAGCTCAGATCGGAAAGATCAGTGGCACTTTGAACCTGCTCACTGAGAAGGCCACGGCTTTCTGGAGGGTTTAGGGGTTTAGGGGTTTAGGGGTTTATGGGGGATACGGGTTTAGGGTTTTAAGGTTTTAGGGGTTTAGGGTTTAGGGGTTTGGGGGTTTGGGGTTGTTCTTTTGGGAGGTTTAGGGCTCCGGCTCCATGGGTTTCAGGGCTTTGTGTTTGGGCTGTTTAGGGTTTGGGCTTCGGTTTTGTAGATTGAGGGCTGCTGGGTGATTTAGAGTGCCTTTTTTTGAATTTAGGATCCTAAACCCTAAACCCTAACCCTTACGGTATGTCTAGAGAACCGCTCCGGTCCAAAAGCTGAAACCCCGAAGTTATTCAGCAGAGGCCTTACGTTATTAAGCCCGAAACCCTCAGAGAAGTCACAAGGGATCCTACCAAGCACATGGAATGTTGTAAATACGACTGTATACCCCTGGTTAACCAACCTCCCTCTCATAATACAGATTTTAGGTTGAACTTACGGTCCTTTGCAAAACAGTGACGTATGAATCAAGGTGCACACTCATAGCTCCAGGGTACCCCTGATGCTGGCTGCATCATAAGGTCTTTTTCGGGTGGTAGGGGGCCTGAATACCGATAAAGAGGCCTATTTAAGGAAGTCGCATGGTTAGAAAATGGAAATGGTCATTGCTAACTAACAGTAGGATCCTTATGATAAGGACCCCCCCATAAAAAAGGCTCCAATTTTCGGAAGCTCCCACCTGCTGGCGATCCAAAAGCAGTCTATTGTAATGCCTTACATCTAAGGGGTCATCGCCTACTACGGTTGATATAAATCCTGCATGACCCATAAAATTTTAACAAGGAATATACCATATTTCCCATAGTTTTGGGTCCTTAAGGTGATGCAGGATTTATATCATCAACCGTATTTCGTAGGGGTTGGGGCTAGGAGAAAATCCCAAGCAGCCAAGCGACAGGCCAAAGAGCGGGACACGGTGCGCAGAGATCTGCAGAGGCCTTTTAGGGTTTAGGGTTTAGGGTTTAGGGTTGAGGGTTTGGGTTTTGAAGGTATACCCCTCGGCTTGATAGTAGTTCTTTTGGGGATTACCTCATAGGATTCTAAATATGACCCCCAAAAGGAACTACTATGGAGCCTCCAGGTAGGGTTTAGGACTCAGGGTTACAAGTTTACGATTTAAAGTACAGGCCAGAAAGTTGGAATATGATTATCCTAACCCTTCTATGGTAAGTTACAGGGTATCCTACCATGAAACCATATTCCAACTTTCTGGAGTTCCATTTAGGGGTTTTAGTTTCGGGTTAAAGTCTGATTTAAGGGGTTGTGGGCCTGGTACGCTTGCAATGCTTTGTTACCTGTGGAGGTGCCCAAAGGGTCCTATGTACTGTTATGGGGGATACTTCCCTAAGTCATAATAATAATTCTTTATATAGAAACCCTACATTCTACTATAAGGGTACTTTGGACCCTTTGAGGTGGTAGGGGAGTGTGGGTTCGTAGACTCCATACCTGCGTGTGTGTTGCCCCTATCGCGTCGGAGATTGGGGGCTTCAAGTGTTTACGGCTCTAGGGTTTCAGGGTTGGCAAAAGCTCAAGGATGAGGATGACTGAGAATGACTATGAAGTCGGAGCTGGACATAGAAAAAACAGCACCTTCCGAACAGTCCCGATTGCCGATTGTGTATCCTTCAGCTTGCACGCCGCACCAGGAAATAATATCCCCCCACTCCCTCTCGCCAAAGCACCAAGCTGCACGCTAGCAACTATAAGCCCAGCGACTCATTCGGGTGCTTCTGGGCTTTGAATATACAATCCTGCAGTTGCTCCGTATTATATAGGACTTTGCTATGTGTGATCATGGTGACATGCTTCCTGCTGCAGTATGAACCTTCAATCGCGACTTGGTATGTTCATCGTTGGCACGTCTCTCGTTTCTTACGGCAATCTTCATGTTAGAGTCAGTACCACTGCCAGTAGCGTTGTTGTTGTGATGACTGTTGCCGTTCTTGGTTCAGCTGTAGTGACATCATCACCGTCGGAAACCAGCAGTGTGCACGTGTTTGTACAGTCATCGGTGGATGCCAAGGTTTGCATAGGTAGTATCAGTATGCAGTAAGACCATGCAGAACACGCTTGTACAGTCCGTACACAACCATGCTTCATTCCTGCCCAAGCGCGATATTCGTCCTTTTACGTCGCAGCTGTTCTGTTGCATGTCCTCATTCGTCGTGGAAATTGGTGGCAAAAGGCCGTACATCATAACTACTTCAAGATGCTAATTGCAACAACGCCTCCCAAGAAAGGACCCCTACCGGAAAGAAACCCACAAAGCCTCGTCAGACCGAATATCTTTCTTGGCACCGCGCATCTCCGAATTCCACAGGTGGCTCTTCAAGACAAATGCCCCTGAGCGGCTGACTACCCGCATGCTGGACTCTCTGTACGGACCTCAGCACCAGCTCTGGCTTGCGTACGGGACTTGGCGGTTTTTCTCATGGGTGGTTCATTTTCGTTGAGGGTGTGTGCGCGCGTTTCTATGTGTGTGCGTGTGTCGGCGGGAGGGGGGGGGGTGGCCTACCTTAACCTTCCAAAACCTACTTTTTCGTAGGTTCTTATTACAAACCCCAATATAGATTTTACAGGGACCCTACAAAAAAGTAGGTTTTGGTGGGTTCAGGTACCTCATGTTGTTTCTGCACTGCGTTGTGTACAAGCTGCCCCCATGGTAGCCGGATCCAACCGCAAGCCCTATGTAAAACTTGCAGCTCGCTTTCTGAGCCTTGGTCTAGGAGGGGAATTGGATCTTGTAAAGGGAACTCCAGAAAGTTGGACTATGGTTTCAGGGTAGGATCCCCTATATTTACCATAATTAAAGGGTTTAGGATAATCATATTCCAACTTTCTGGCTTTTACTTTAGGGTCTCGGGTTCAGTGCAGGGGATTTCAGCACTACAAACTCAACGAGGAACGACGTGCTTCAGTCGAAGGACTCGCCATTGGACGTGAAACAGCCGCCTGGAGACAGATTCTAAGGGATTGCTGGATTTGGGGTTCAGTGTGTCGATACTAGCCTATGGTTTTTTGTGATTCTAACCCTTAGGGTCCAAGTAGTCCTTATTTATGGTTTTTGATACTTGAAAAGGCCCCAAAGTCCCATAATAGGGAGTACTTGGACCCTTAGGGTAAGGGATTGTTGGGTTCGTTTGGGGTACACAGTTCAGGCTCTCGGTTCGAGGGTTCTGAGGGCTCCGTTTTGTGATGAGTGGAGCTTGGGGTATAGGACTCAAGCTTCCGAACGCGACCCGATAGGACATGAATATAGTTAATAGTAGTGAGCGTAAACCAGAGGCCCAACCCATACCCGTTTTGATTCCAGAACAATGCGTGAACTTCGTGAAAATCCTCAAGCGTGATAGCCCAAAGCCCCAAAACCTGAAAGAGCAATTCCCTAAAGCGTAAACCCTAGTAGCTGAGCAGGTAATCTTTAGCCATCGGGGCGTATATAATCCTACCGTAAGTGAGGAGGTTGCCCTGTTTTGTTCTTGGGTACTCGGCCCCTAAGAAACTCCCAAACCAGAAACCCTTAGCAAGAGCCACGGGCTTGCTTTCTGGAGGCCCATCGCGCTGAAGTTCCTTCCATCCACTCTGCTGGAGGAGTTGCACATCGTGCCTTGACAAAGAACCCGGGTAGTATTGTAATATAGCATACCCCGCTTACAAACAAAGAGCCCGGTTGGGTTTTAGGGGTTCAGGGCACTGATCCCCCGAACCTTTTGAGCGACAGGTTAGAAGGGGCCCCCGCCCTGTAATAGTGGCATAATAGGAATATAATAGGGCCCTAATATAATCCTTGTAGTCACTATTACAGGCTGGGGGCAGCTTCTAACCTATGGGAGTCAAACCTCTCATGATGTAGGGGCCTTAGAAATTAGAAGAGGGTTTCCGGCTCCTCTGTAGTATACTTACAATGCGGAACCGTAAGCTTCTAAGTGACAGGTGAAAATCCGCGACAAGCTCTCCATCCATGGGCTCTTCAAGATGCTGATGAACGACCTCTGGCCACGGTTTAGGGGGCTGATCCCCCTTTTGAAAAATACCACAGTTTTATGGTTATTCAGGATCTGTTGTATAGAAAAGTAGATATTATTTTTTACCCTAAAAACGGGATAGGTTACTGTATGCGCCTACCGGTCATCCCCAAAACTCAGTCAAGCCTAAACAGCTTGCGTAAAGGATCATGGGACTTAGTGGCTTGGGCCATTATTAAGGTCAGCATGCCTGTAATTTTTTGTATCCCCAGTTAAGGTATTTTTAAACTGACTTACTAAGTCTCAAGATCCGCCAAGCAGGGATTCGTGCACAGGGTTCCAGGATGCTGATGAACGAGGAGTTCTCCCATAGGGTCCAAGGTGCTGATGAAAGACACGTTTGTATAAACTTACAGCGTGCGCTTTAGGATTCAGGCTCGGGTTTAGCAAGTAGAGTGTAGGGTTTAGCCCGCAATCATGGGCCGAATCTGAAAGCCGCAAACCTCTCAAACCCTACAGAACCGGGCAAACAGTCAATGTTTCGGCTTAAACCGAAAACCCTGAGCACAGTGAACTCTCCGCAAACATAGAACATGGTCTGAGCATTTGGTGCTGGGCTTCCTCAGGCTGAGATTCCGGTGAAAGTTTCCGGGTTCCTATCGTATAGCAGGGTTAGCAGGTATCAGGATTTCGGTGTTCCAACTTTCTGCTGGAAATTTGCTGTCAGATCGTTCTTGATTTCGTAAACTTCGTATGACATTTGTAGCAGATGCTCCTCCTGAGCTTGAGCGACTAAGAAAAGACCACACCAGGGGTTCTAAAACCCAACAGCCAATAGCACACCTTCCTAAGATCACTAGTACCTCAAACCCAACCACCTAATCATGGGGTTCTTGGTGCTTCAAAGTGACCCGAAGCCATCCGAAACCCGTGACTCCCTAACCCTGCACCGACAACTCCCTCATGCACTAAACCCGACTCCCCCCCCCAAAACAAAAGGAGCGCATCGGCATCGCGGGCCCCTTGGCTACGGCCTTTCGGACAGTGAACTTCGTCCAGGGTGAGGACGTCTTCGCCCACGGAAAGAAAGCTGAAGGCCAGGGATTCATGTCCAAATGAGAGTTTCCGAAAACTAGGGGTACCTCATTTGGGGGTCCTTAAAAATAAGAATCCTACTTTTTAGGGTACTCTATTAGGTCCCCTCTTTTCGGAAGCTCCCAAATGGTCCAAAGAGTTTCAAGTTTGTGGATTGCTAAGGGCTTACCCTACGGGTCCATGTGCTCGTTTAGTATATACTTCTTCCATAAAGTAGTCCCTTTATAGATTCTTTGGTACCGAAGCAAAATGCTTGGGCACAGTGGCCCTTTAGGGAAAGAGTTTGTGGGTTGCTAAGGGCAATTCCAGGACATTGAATTCTCTGCCTTCTACAACCCCTAGGACCCAGAGTAAGCCCTTATTCCCTTTTTTGAGGCTTAGGTTCCCTTATAAACCCCTTTAAACCAAAAAGGGCACCCTTTTTATTCCTAGGTTACTCTTAGGTCTAGACCCCATGACGCCTTGTAACAAACGTGAGATCCTGATCAATGCAACCCTTAAACTTTGGGTTGAGGACTCGGATTTGAGTTTAGGGTTTAAGGTAACAGCCAAAAAGTTGGAATATGATTATCCTAACCCTTCTACGGTAAATTACAGGGTATCCTACTATGAAACCATATTCCAACTTTCTGGAGTTCCCTGTAGGGTGTAGGAATTGGGGTCTAGGTGTATTGAAGGTTCTTGATGTTTAGGGTGCTCCTAGGATCCCAGGATGAGGGAAGACACGAAGACCTACTCATAATCATACAGTGGAAGCCGGAAAGTTGGAACATGGCTTCAGGAGGATTAGGGCTGGGATTCCTTCTACTCTACCTTAGGGGCATGGGGATGATGTTCCAACCTTCTGGTTTCTACTGTATCATCTACTGATAATGAGTACACTAGACAATGATGTTACTGCTGTAGAGTTGCATACAGGCAGGGATGGTAAATTGCGATACATGCAATGTCGAGCATGTAAGCAAATAAATCGCACAGATGAGTTTGTAAGTGTGAAATTTTGAGAAGGTATACTTTAACACATGTCGAGCTTGCCTTGAGATGAGTAGGACATCTAGGCTTAGAAATAAGGAGTGGGATGAGTTCAGGGTGGTTTCTTTGGAAAGGGTTCTCAAGGAGAAAGCGCGTGCAGAAAGAACAACTTAATAATATCTTGTAGTGAGCATGAGTGAAAGGATATATTGCAGCAAATGTCAGGGACATCACAAGGTTGAAAAGCTCGAACAAGGATATAAGACATATAACTCATGCTGGTAGAGCAAAGGAAAAGATGCCAGGAGATGAGCAAAGATAGCATTGCATAAATAGAAAAGTCATATACAGACGCTAGCAAATCGCATGCCAGAGAACAAGAACGTCAAAGGTTTCTAGAAAACAAAAATGACATCATTACATATCGATTTGCAACTATGACATAAAGCATTACCAGAAGTCACAGCATGAAAAGTCACACACCCACCAGAATTTCTTGAAACAGCTAGAAGGTACTACACCAGAGTAACCAGCAGAACAAACAGAATCAACCACACGAAATTTGCAACAATGCACCGCAATGCAACAAACAATCAAATTACTATTGGAATTAAGGTATTATTGAATGCCCCACCCTACTACCAAATAAACCTAGCCACCTTAAAACCAGATAAACTCTAACACACCCTTTTCCAAGGGCCTTTAGGATCCCTGTTTTGGTCAAAACCTGAGGGTCAAAGTGCCCTATAACCGGATACTCTGCCCTTTATCCTGCATAGTTATATATCCGCTATCACTTTATTGCATATTTTGGACACTTTGGGTTAACCAAGGGCTTACATGAAGCCCTAAACCAGACGATGTGAAGTGTTTCTCTCGCGCAGCAGGCCTCGTCATCATTCAGAGTGGTGAGTTTCTTCTTCACATGCGCCCGTGCCGAAGTTATGCCGGGGTTGTTCCCTAAACAGCCAGGTAGCTGCTCGTATTTGTGCGCTCGTGGCATGCCACGGCCCTTTTGTACCTTAGTCTAGTGTTCCAGTTCAGCCATGTACATGTCCCCAGCCCTTGCCTCCGAACGCCAGTTGCCCCACTTCTCTGGCGTGCCGGGCACCCCTGCACCCCTAGACTCCCAAGCCTGAACTGGGGCTACTTGGGACTTAGTAAGTAATGCTCCTTATATCCTTAAAGGGATCTATAAGGGATCTATAGGGTATCTATAGGGCTTCTATAAAGAGTTCTATAAGGAGGCTCATGGGACTTAGTAAGGTTATAAGTACCCTAATTGGGGTTATAAGTACAGTTACCCTAATAATAACTAGTTACTAAATCCCATGATCCTTTAAGTAGAATGAACCTTGAACCTTTGAGCTTTGAGATCCTGGGCCGAGCTTTGCGCCTCAAAGCCGATCCGGAAATAGGGAAGTTTCCGAACATTGGGGGTATCTTATTTTGGGGTCCTTATAATAAAGACCCGACTATTTAGGGTATTATATTGGAGTCCCAATGTCGGAAACTCCCAAATATGAAGGTCTTACTGACTTAGACTAGGTTTTAGTGGTGGGTTCTGTGGCGACCTTTTTTAAGCCCCTAGGTAAACAGGGCATTTAGGCTTCCTGAGAGCTCCTTTTGGAGACGTCCCTTAAAGGTCAACTGAAGCACATCTCCGTGAGATCCTAATTTAGACTATAGTGACTATAGGGGTACATGGTGTTTGTTCTTGCAAGAGCATCTGATCGAACCAAAGCACTAAGTCAGCAGCGTCTAGAGAGATACTGTTGATGGACAAAATCCTGCATGACCCCTTGTAAGGAATATACCATAGTTACTACCATAGTTCCCATAGTTTAGAGTCCTTAGGGTCATGCAGGATTTCGTCCATCAGCAGTATGGTAGAGGGCCCTAAACCTGCTTGGGGGTTTCAAGGCTTGAGGCTCTCACAGGGTAACTCTTACAACCCTGAGCTCTCAACCCTGCCACACAGACAAACGTAGATAGAGAGACGGATACATAGACAGATCGACAGATCGGGCAGAGGGATAAAAGGTATGTAGGCAGACAGGTTGTATAGAGGGAGACCAGGGGATACGTAGCTAGGTAGAAGTGTATGTACGCATGCATGAACGAATGTACATATATATATACACACATGTATATATGCAGACAGATAGAGAAAGACAGACACAGACATATAGGTATACACATGCACGCATAAATGTATGCATACACCAGCTTATACGTAGCACTAAACGCAAACATGCATATATATATATATATATATATATGTATATATATATTCTCAGTCATACATATATGTATATATGTATATATAGAGAGAGAGATAACAAATAAGTCCAGATACAGAGATAGATACCGTCTACAAATATAGTTATACATATCGGTTTGCACATATATTTTGAGATAGATTTGTTTTATTGGGAAGGTTCATTTCTAGATGAACTTGTCTATCATGTATACATACACATGTATATATATATATGCAGATATACACACATGCACACCTTCATACACAGAATGCGTTTCAATTCGCACATAGTATCTGTTTATTTCACATGTCCACCTGCCCGTAAAGTCTCGATCGTTTAGGGCCTGGGTGGGTGTACTAGGGGCCTTTATAATTACCTATACTATTTTAGTTTTTTTTGGGGGGGGGGGCCTTATTATAGTTGTAGCAATAATGACGATGTGTCGATATGTAAAGGCTCCGCATGTACTATCCGAGCAGCAAAGGCCTCGTGCCGACGGATCGATGGCAAATCGTGGATCACGACGAGCTGGGTGGGATGCAGGCTCGCAGCTAGGGATGAGGGTTGAATCTGCGGGTTTTGAAAGCATGACTACCAAGAGGCTCCACATACGCTACCATTATGGAACTGGGCCCAAACGACCATTCTGATAATGGTTTTTGACCCTCTGGGCTACTAGCAGGCCAAGGGCCAAGAGAATCATTCGGTACTGGGATCTTTGCATATTGGGGCTTCTCCATCTTGGGCTTCGCGATCTCAGCAGGGTTGCGCAGTCCAGGACTTCAGGGGTGTAGACTTTGAGAATCCTTGCGACTGGTAGAGCTGCAGAATGTCTCATTGCTTGATATTTCCTACTATTTGCTTAATAACCACAAAAAATAAACATATATTCCTTATGGGGGTAATATAGGGATTATTATTTTTATTCTTTGGGGGCTTCTTAAGCAAGTAGTAGTTTCAGGTTTAGGGATGTAGGCTTTGGGGCAAGGGGGCTTTAAGCTGAACTCGGTTTTCGGGTTTTGGGGCTTTAGGGCTCAGGGTCTAAACCTGTCGCGCTGTGACTACAACATGATGTCCATACAGCCTGCTGCCTGGAGGGTACCCAGAGACTCCAATATCCCTTAGCAAAGGAAGATACATCAAATCACATTTATTAGGCATCCTACTATAATGACTCCAAGATCTAGAATTATAGAATATAAGTACCGTGAATTATTATAATTCACGGTAATTGTATTCTATAATTCTAGATCTTGGAGTCTCCGTGAAGTGACAGAAGCCAAAGCTGGGGTCTGGTTTATCGGCTGCGTGCTGGAGCGACAAGCACACTGCGACACCGCGGGCTGTGCACTGCACGTGACGGCCCCGTTGTGCCGAGCCTCCCTTAACTTGAAGTCTTTATCATAGTTGGGTTACATTTTACAGCGTACTTCATAAGAAAAATGATGTACATGTTTAATCCTATCCCAACAATGAACTAGAAGCGGTACCCTAAGCCCCAAACCGCACGCCATCGCACGCCCCTCAAACCCCAAGCCCTAAACCCTACTGACTGTCTCTGGCGAAACAGGAGTATGTCTAAGACTACCCAGGCAGGTAGCTCGAGGGTTTATGTTGGGTTTAGGGGTTTGGGGGTTTGGGGTTTGGGAATTCAGTGTAAAGGGAGGGGTAGGAGTTTAGGGCCGAAACCCTCCAAGCCTGAGTTTGATGCAGGTAGCAAAATGGCACGGGCACCCTGGCTTTCTTGGTTGTTTCTGTTCGGTAGATAGGTTGTGAAGGACGTGAAAGATTTTTGTTGCTTTGTGTTTCCGGCTTCGTTCGCCGCTGCAAGGGTTTAATTCTTACGTGTTTTTGGGGGGTTGTAATGAGGTCCTTCAAGCAATGTTTAGGAGACTAGGTGAGCGGATCTTGGGTTTAAGACGATTTAGAGTTCAGACATGTGGGGTCGCCTTCCTGGTTCGTCGTCCCGACACCCTAGCCGAAATGCGCCGGTTTAGGGTTTAGGGTTTAGGGTTTTAGGGTTTAGGGTTTTAGGGTTTAGGGTTTAGGTATCCGCATCTTTAACACTGGCCCTAGAATGACCCGTCAGAAAGACCCTTTCAAGGCCTAAGCCCCAAATAGTTTTGTTTATTTGGGTGGTTGTCAAGATTTGGGTCCCTTTTTGGGCACCCGAAATATTAGGTGCCGTCTTGATTAAGGACCCAAGAAGGGACCCTAATTTTGACAGCCACCCATGTGGTTGTCGTTTCTGTATATCAAGAGTTTCTGGGTTGTGTTTGAGTGGGGAACATCCCTGGCCCCAACCCTCCGCCCACCAAGACCCCGGGGCGTCAAGGGTTTAGGGTTCCGGAGTTGATGATTGAACGGTGTTGGGCGTAGAGTTTCTAGGATGCCCAGTAGTACCCTTATTCCCCTTTTTGTAGAGTTAGGTTCCTTATCAATTAAAGTTACCCAATACCAAAAAAGGTATTCCTTGTTTTTCCTGGATTCCTGGGCATCGTTGGTTTGGGGTTCCGGGTTTGTTCTGTTATGGCCTGTCAATCGATCAAAGGGTAAAAGGAGGAACCCTTAAAAAGGACCCCTAGGTATAGAACCTTAATATAGCTATTATATACCCATCATATGGTCCAGTATAGGGTAGGGGTCCCCATCAAGGGTCCCTCCTTTTCCCCTTGGAATCGAGACCTCAAAGCCCTGCTAAGCTCCTCCCCCCACCAGAGGCACCTCCCCCAATCACAATCACAAGCGCATGCTTAGATTTAAAAACTTAAAGACTAAACTTAATACCAGGCCTAACCCGAAGCCCTGAATTGACAGTCAGAACAAAAATAGAGACCTTCTGGCTTAAACACGACTGAAGCAAGACAATGTCCACGCTGTCTCCCTCCCATCATTCCAAGGCTACTGCAGATGCCTACACCCGAAACTCTACCCCCCTGTTGCACACCGTCTGATTCCAAGGACACGTGGCTTGCCGAGCTCTGCCTTTACTCGCAGATGACCCACGCCTCGTACCTCACGGCTCAGACACCTGGCGTTTGAAAGGTGGAGGTTAGCTGGTTCAAGGATTATTGGTTTGATGTCACCGGTCAAGGGTGTCGGGATATCAAGATGCTTACAGTCAGCTTCGTCAACAGAGACTCGAACCCTAAACCCTTTCTCCTTAAACCCCGAAGTAAACCCCTACACCCTAAACCCCTAACCGTAAACCCCTAAACCCTTAAACCCCTATATAACCCCTTAGACCCCTGACCCTTTGAACCCCTAACACCCCTAAAGTTGCTTGCTTCATACTGACGCACTCGGTTAGCTTGAAGAGGCGGGGACCGCTCCAACCAGAAAGGTTAGGGTTTAGGGTTTGGGGTTCAGGGCAGCTAATATCTACACCCTCATCCTCGACCGCCCTAAACCCCGAAACTCGCAACCAGAAGCCTGCTTGAGAACCCTTATAGAAGCTTCATATGATCATGGAGCCCTGAACCCTATAACCCTAACCCTACAGAGCCTGCAGTCTCCCTTGTAGTTCCTATTTGGGGGGGTTCCTTTCTGGGATCCTAAATACAAAATGGAACCACAAGGGAAACTAATACAGGGGCCTAGACAATTGCCAATACTATTTTGGAGGGTTCCATTATAGTTAAGAGTATAGAAATAATAGCCCCCAGCCCTAGTCTAATTATTCAGGCCCCATATTCTAGAACCCTACTAGTGAATCATTGCAGAGCCGTTTTAATAATTAAGGAACCCTTCTACTTAAAGGGAACCCTATTCTGATTATTAAGGCCCATACAGTACAGTAAACCCAGAAAGTTGGAAACCGGATTAAGGCCAAATAGTGCTGGGATTCCCTATACATGACTCTTAAGGATTGAGGCTATTGGGTTTCCAACTTTTGGGCTTCTACTGTATAGGAAGGCCGTGAGTCGCAAAACCAAGTAGAGAAGCCCTGACTTACGCCCTGAAGGCCACCAGGCTCGAAAGCTATACTTGGAGGTTTGTATAAGTAAGGTTATAAGTAGAATCACTTCGAGGGTTCTATAGGATTTAAGGTTAAGTTAAGGGTTTAGGGTAGTTATAAGTAGGTTATAAGTCCCTTAAATATCTGGTTTATAACTATAGTTATCATATATAACTCCGCGACACCTAAGTCCTGCTTGGCGTGATGCGACCGTGTGAAGGGATCTCTGCCGTGCTACAGTCCCTCTCCTATTGCTTCCCTTTCGCAGCACAAGGCGGAAGCTTTGTCTACGGAGGCCCGTGCCGGGTTGGACAAGATGTGGCACGACGCAATTTCATTGCCCTTACCGGTGTGAAAAACAAAGCCCCACCTTTTGGGCACGCTCTGCGCAAAAACAAGGCTTCTTAACAAAAGAAACAACCGAACGAGGCCAGGTCAGGGTTTGGGGCTTGGGCCCTAAGCCCCAGATGCGCCCTGCGCAACAATCCGGCCGCAGCCGGTTTCCAGCGTGGTGGTCTTGCGTTTCTTCTCAGCGCAGCGACGCGTCTTCACCTACGTTTAGCTAATTCCTTATCCCTGGACTACAGCACCTATGGCGGAGCTAGTTCCTAAACCCTACCCAGAGGCCCCAAATTAGTTCCCTTTTGGGGCTCATATTTAGAATCCTATAAGGTAATCCCAACAAGGAACTACTATGGGTCCTATATAAACTTAACCTACATCACGCACCGATCGGCGAGCTCATTCTACTTCCGCGGCAGCCCACGCGACATTGAGCACTTCCCATCAAAGGGTCCGAACCTCTGAGATCCCCCAAAACAAGGGGTCACAATAGTTGATATCATCATTACTGCTACGTATAAATATGTTGGTGCATTTCATTATTTGTAGTACTTATGATCATGATGACGATTTGCACTGCGATTGTTATTCCATAGGTTCTTTTTTAATACATTTACTTCAGAATGCCCTCACAACCGTTTTCTACTAAGCCCTACTACAGATCCTGGTTTGAACTCTTAGCTTTAACAGAACCTTTTAAAGGAACCCTCTCTATTCAATTTTGCTGAACCCCGAAACCCCAAACCAGAGCCTCTCCCATCCTTAGCTCATAGGGACGCGTAGGGGGGTAGGGAACTATACCTCCTTAAACAGGCCTTGTGCAGTCCTTATTATGGGTATTAAGGGCCCCGACCCTCCGCCGCCCTACCCCCCTAAGGGTCTCCATGATTTACCATAAAGCGTTTTTGAATCCCCAATTCGGAATCCGAAAACGTCCTTCGGGAACAGAAGGGCGGTTTGTATGTATATACCCTCATACTATACGGTAGTCGAACCCTGTGGAAGACCCTTAGAACCTTTCAGGCTGAACCACCACCCAAACCTGAAATCATTAAAGCACCCTAGACTCAGACCCTGATCCATGCCCTTACCCGACACTCTGAACCTACATGTTACCTTATTCAGGAACTATTGCAAGATCCTAGCCCTGAGCCTTAAACCCTACATTCAGGAACTACTCAAATATCCTAACTCTAAGCCTTAAACTCTACATCCAGGAACTACTCCAAGATCCTAACCCTAAGCCTTAAACGCTACATTCCCTAAACCCCGAACCCTAAACCCTGAACCTACACTTTACTTATTCAGGAACTACTCCAAGATCCTGACCGCGCCGGTGCTGGAATTTGTCAATGCAGTCCAAGGTTCTCCTGCTGCCGTGGCCACTTGGCAACGTCCCATTTAAAGGATCATGGCACTTAGTAACTAGGCTTACTACTGCCATACTTATAACCCCAATTAGGGTACTTATAACCTTACTAAGTCCCATGATCCTCCAAGCATCGTTAGTTGGGGAAAAGGGTTTAGGCTGGGATCAGCAAAACATCCTCAACCAGCTACAAAATCTTATTATACCCTAAAAAAGCCCAAGCCCTGGTAAGATAGCCAGTGGCTCTGAACACCAAAAGGAATCCCAAATCCTTATAGAACCATTAAAGGGCTCCAAACCTTGTACTCGAGGCCAGGATTTCCTCCTGATTTTTGGTAGGGTTCAGGGTTTGGGGCTTATCGGGTGTAGGGTTTAGCGTTGGTTTAGGGTTTAGCGTTTAGGGTTTGTGGTTTAGGGTGTAGGGTTTGCGGTTTAGGGAGGGCTGAGAAATGCACAACCTGGAATGTTTGCTCCTTTGTTCGGGTAATCTGTTCCATGATTAGAACCCTACTGAATCCTACTATAAGAAAGCAAGGCTAGACAAAAACCGTGCTACATTGTCCGTGTAGTAGTTGCTCCTTTGCACCGCCCCCTGGTAAATTTTCTGTATTATATCAGAGAATATGGGACTTTCCGAAAATAAGGGACCCTAATATAGTACTCTAGACAGTAGGATCCTTATTCTGAGGACCGTAAAATTGAGGTATCACTAACTTTATGGAACTCCTATATATGAAACTATTGTGGCCGAAGGCCGAGCTCCGACGGACCCTTGCTCTATCAGTAATCGTGTCCCTTTATGGCCCCTTCGGACTTGTTTCTATGCACCCTCAACCCCAAGGCCTAGTTGAAATAGTCGGGTTCCAGCCTGGTCTGGTTCACAGCATTTACCCTTCAACCCTAAACCCTCCATGTTTGCATTATTTATAGCCTTTGTACCCGAAAGTAGGTACTATTTCTATTCTTAGAGTTTGCGGGAGAAAAAAAAGTGGTAGAGCATCAACTTCCTAAGCACAAGCACGAAAGCCTCCACATCGTTCAGTGGAGCCCGGGGGCTCGACACCTCGAAGCTGGCTGGCAGGTTCTGTAGCAGGCCCAAATACCTCAGGGTCCATATCCCCAACTGGGTTCCTTTAAGGGGTGCCTTCGAGGGTTCTATACAGGGTTCTATGAGGGCTTTAGGGTTTAGGGATTAAGGGTCCATGTACCCAAATGGTACATCCCGGTGTACCTATGCAGGGAGTGCTGCAAGGAATGCTATGAGCAGTGTTGCACTTAATCTGAAGGCTCAATGTAGTGGCTGAGTCGAAGTCCCGCTGTCAGGTCGTAAACACCTATGTACTCATGATGAGGACTATCCGAACCGAGATCCTTACACCCGAAGCCGCAATCCTAAAACCGGGATGATTGAAAATGAACCTGGAATTCCAACAGCCTTGAACCCAAACAGCCTAAGGACCTAAGCCCTTGAACTTTAGAGGGCAAGAGTCATAAACCTTACATCCGAGATCCCCAACCCCGGAAGTGACCGAAGCGAGAAAAACAGCTAGTCTCAGAACAAACAATGCCCAAAGTGCCTTCGACAAATTTCATTTAACCTGAATGCATAGTCTTGACCTTAAACCCTTGGCACTCGAGCCTTAAAACCAAAACCTGTAACCCATAAACCCTTTAACCCTAAACCCTTGAACCCTAAACCCTCTAGCCCCTTTTAAGCAACCCTCAAAGACCCCTTTTAAGGAGCCCGCCCTAAACCCGACCGCTATTTAGGTCGCCGTCCACGAGTACGCGACGCGACTCCTGAACCTCTATGCTCTTCGGTTCCAACACTTTGTTTTGGGGCGGCGGGGGGTAGGATTTAGGGTTTGGGGTTTAGGGTTTTGGGTTCAGGGTTTAGGATTTAGACTTTAGAGTTTTTAGTTTAGGATTTAGAGTTTAGGGTTTGGGGGGGCTATAGGGCTCTGTTGGGGTTCTTTGGGAGGGTATAGTATAAGGTTCCTTTAATGTGTCATACAGCTTCAGGTTTTTGTATGCCATTATGAGATTTTGTAGGGATCTATTTCGGTTTTGTAGGATTGTTGAAATGTTTGAAGGTTTCACAGGCTTGAGGATTTCACAGGGCTTTGTACGGCTCTAGGATGTTTATTGGGGTTTGGTAGGCTTCGCATGGTTTTCGGGGGTTTGCAGACTTGCAAGGTTTTGGAGCGAGTTTCTTTACATCAGACCCACATTTTCCGGGTTGAGGGCAGCGGAGTATAGATCGAGGGTTCTGTGTTTAGGGTATCAGGTTTCCTGGTTAGAACTTTATGCTCAGGTGGGGGTGGGGCTCTGTAACGACATGTTCATTTCGTACATAAAGGGCCGCTTGGAGGATGTTGCCGAAGTCAATTCGCACCCCGTAAAGCGAGGTGAAAGTGTGAAAGCATAGGGCATAGTGTCTTGGAGACATTGGTGTACTAGGTTCCTGAGTAGTGCCCTTTTGCCCTTTTTAGTTTAGGGTCCCCTTATTCAAACCGAATAGTAGGAAAAAGGGTAGCCTTATTATAAAGGGTTTATTCAGAAACCTAGTGTACGCAGCGGGCGGCAGCATGTAATACAGGGTTCCCAACCTTTAGAACCAGATTTTCGAGCTAGAAACCCGAGGGACGAGGAAGTGTCTTCATTTGTGCAAGTAAGGGATCATGGGACTTAGTAAGTGAGGTTATAAGTAGGTTATAATTAGGATAACCCCACTTAGGGGACTTATAACCCCCAGTTATAACCTACTTACTAAGTCCCATGATCCGCTAAGTGGGGTCTGAGGGCCAGTATCCGTTTACCCGTGCGTTGTTGGGGCCTCCTGTTCACTGCATAACCGGAAAAAGGATTCCCCACCCTGGACCCTAAACCCCGGCACCCTAAACACCATCAAAGCCCGAAAAGCCAAAGCTCTGGACCTACACCCACCCTAGACCCTACAAGCCCCACCTAAGCCCTGCCAGACATACTTGCTAAACCTGAAGCCTACTTATTCATGTGGGTAGTTGTCAACATTCTGGTCCCTTTTTGGGTACCCTCAATGTGAGGTGCCGTATTAAGGCCCCAAAAATGACCACAATTAGTTTTGACAACCACCCCTGTAATATCTAGGAAGCCTTAAGAAGCAGGCAAAGCAGAAAGAGACGATGGGTTGGGAGATCATGTCGGAAGACGTGACAGCCTCTCGGCCTGCAATAAAGAAGCAATTTCGGATAAGTACAGGGGCTCTTGTAATAATTATGGTAATAGGGTGTCAGGCTGAATCGAAATAAGAGCAACTTGGGATAAAGTACAGGGGCCGACTAATTGAGGTTTAGGGTTTAAGACGGTTTAAAGTTTGGGCATAGAAATTGGTTAGGGCTTAGGGCTGAAGAGGTGGAGGGTTCAGGGTTGGGCACTTTAGGGGCTTAAAGTTTCGCATCTACAGCTTTTGTGTGGTTGTAGTTGCAGGTTGCAGAGTTCAAGGAGTGGAAACAGCAGCAGAAGCACAGCAATGTTAAAAACGAAAAGAGCAACATAAGCAGCAGCAACATGAGAGAAGCTAAAGTAGCAGAATCATCCTGCACAGCCGCGAGTCAACTTAAGCACTCATGATCCGGAAAACATCCGCTAGCAATGACCACTCA